GGGGTGAGGTTCGGTAGAGCCAAAGGGTCTACAACAAGTGCACAAGCAAGTGTTCACACAGTAGTAAAGACAACTGCTTGCATTGCTTACTGAGGAAGCTATCGTGATGCCCGTAGGCCGTAAAGATCGTGAACTATATACAGCTTCCTCCCTCTGGTTATTCTTTTGAACGCTTGTGCTCGCCGGCGACCATGGGCGTCCATGCGGCACGCTCTTTTCTTCGCTACCCCTTTGGCACCTATTCCTAATTGGTGCTCCGGTCTACTGCATAGCTCCACCAGCCCGGGTTATATGGTTGGTTTGTGACACCTACTATTCCACAAGGCTTCTAGCCAATCAAAACCCCCATACAACAAACAGCGCCAGCTGATCTGAGGACGTACTGAACACAATCGCGGTCTCCGTTATAGAATTGTTACTATTTGTCACGAATTAACCAACAGCAGGCCGCATGACGGAAGGCCACATGTGGGGGCGTGGGAACGCCCCGAGCCAATCATTTGGTACGACAAGGCGGACCAGTTAAAGACAAGGCTGAGTGCTATGTCAACCGGACCACTGAGCACTCTGCAGGACGCAAGATGCTCAGGACGCTATCGTGGTATAGCACACATAGCAGCTCTTAGTGCTATGGACGTTTAGGGGCATAGCACACTGGTCATGGACGAAAGAAGCTGTACATATAAACCACACTCACTAGGCCTACGGCATCACGGTAGCTTCCTCAGTAAGCAATGCAAGCAGTTGTCTTTACTACTGTGTGAACACTTGCTTGTGTCAATTGTTGTAGACCCTTTGGCTCTACCGAACCTCACCCCGTCTTTAGTTAGACCTTCAGTCTCAGAGAAGTCCCTTTCAGTGGTAGGGGACCGAGATTCGTCACACTATTCCACCTACAACCTACTACAACAACTGTCGGATACGTTGCCTTCTAGATATATTAAAAGAATCGTATTTGCAAGGCCTTTATAGCTGTGGTTGAATTACACCGATTAGTCTAATCCTGGCTGGAATGTAGGCAATTGAATTTGAAGCTGTTGTGCAGGTACCGTCGTGTGGGCCGTTGCAGTCATATAGGAACTATTGAGACAACCTTCTACACTACTTTTTTACCCAGTAGCCCAGTACTGACTTCTTTGCGTAGAAATTGAAGAATAGTCATTTCAAGAGCTTCCTGCTAGTGGTAGGCTTTTTCGCGTTGGCTCAGTATTGCCTAGGATGCAGCAGTTATAAGCCGTCGCGACCGTTGCAAGCCGTCAAGTCAACCTGCCACCCGACTGTACAGGCTGACCTTCTACACCAGCTTTTCTACTAGTATTACTCCTATATATATGGACCTACTACTGGAATGACGGCCTTTTCAAGAGCTTCCTGCTAGTGGTAGGATCTTACGTATAGGCCCAGTATTGCCCGGGATGTACGCTGTCAATCAATCTTCCTTTCAACTGTACAGCCCAACATTTCTACGCCCTGAGAGCAGTATTGCTCCCATATATACGAGCCTACTACTGGTAAGAAGCTCTTGAAATGGCCATTCTTTTAGAGGTAGGCCTGTATGTGTGGGAGCAGTACTGCTCAGGATACACGCCGTTAAGCTAGGAATTCCACTCCCTCCAACCTAGATCTCAATGGCTCACGAAGATATAGTCAAGCGGGCAAGCCTCTGAGGTGGGCCGGCCATTTCTTATCCTCTATGTTAAATTTGAGTACGATATAACAAGTGGTGGTTGATTCCGACTGAGGCAATTGTGACAAATCTCGGTCCCCTAACCACTGAAAGGGACTCCTCAGACTGAAGGTTCGTAACAACGGGGTGAGGTTCGGTAGAGCCAAAGGGTCTACAACAGTTGACACAAGCAAGTGTTCACACAGTAGTATAGACAACTGCTTGCATTGCTTACTGGAGAACCTTCTGAAGGTCCTCACTAAAGAATGACTATATACTATGTACGGTTCTGTTGATCGCATATGCTCGTGTCCCGACCACCCTCGAGCACTTGCCTGCTCGTCGTGCTATATCTTCGATCACCTCGAGCATTTTGCATGCTGCGAGGCGCTCGCCTGTCTTGGCGTCATAGCACTTCAGCCTTGCCTTGATTGGTCTGCCTGATGTTCCTAAATGATTGGCTCAGGGCTCCCTGCGCCCCGCATGTAGTCTTCCGCCATGCGGCCTGCTGTTGGTTAATTCGTGACAGCAATCTAGGTCGACGTCCCTTAATGACGTACAAAAATCATATCCCCTTTGCGACATCTCTAAGAAGACCATATAGGGCCTCAAGTATACATATATCATTAGAAAGAGCAGTCAATTTAAAACCTTAGAGTACGTTTTATATAGTATATAATAGGTCTAGGCTGCTATAAATAATGTTTGAAAATGTAGACTTTCTTAATTTGTATTGAGGTAAAATGACGTACAACGCGATTTCGTTTAGGCCGTCTACAGACTCTTTCCGAACGTAGTTCTGGGGGACCTACTCTATATATATGCATAGACCATAGAACCTCCCGGGTCCCCCCAACGAAAGTTCAGGAAAGAGTCTGTGAACCGGAGACTATCCCGAAGATCCTTTTCCAGGAGTGCGGCGGGTCGCTATGGTACTAACTACCGGCTACCTTATATAGCAGATGTCAAGCTGTTAACCTATATAATGTACTCTTCCTGTATGTTTTGTAATTACGCGAAATACTGGCTGAGTGATGCCCGAGACGGGTCTGAATTCGACAGGGAAGCTAGAGATTCTACACAAGAATTTTAATTCAGAGCAGTCAATACATTACTCAGTCATGGATGATGATTGCCTTTTGACGTTTGCTGGCGATCTTTTAAAGACGTCAAGCTTGAAACAAGGGAGCGAGAGATGTTTCCATTCAAGCCATCTGATATACCATATGCAGTTTATACATTAGTTCGTAGGCTCAGCCACAATATTCGTAATCCCAGTGTTGACAGGTATGAAGTCTCATTGATTGTTCCAAGACGGATGATAATCGATACCTGCATCGCTATGTGAGATTCCGCAACCTTTGAAAGTACTCTTCACCGATCTACTAGCGATTCCTCCTGCATGACACCGGTTGCGCGATTCCTGGGCCGCAGAACCTAAGCAACTTGACACCAATCGAGCCGTGGTCGTAACAAAGCTAAGAGTCCTTTGGTAGTTTTCGATAAAACTTGTTCGTCAAACTCCAGGTATGTAATCCCTCAAACTGTGGCGAGTTTGTTAAAGACGATATGTGTGCTTCGAGGTGTTGCTTGTATATCCCGGGCAACTCCAACTCTAAACAAGTCGCCTCATTGTAGCCGCGTCACTTGGCAGCCACAGCCCCAAGAACGGTGACAGGAAATCAGTCCTGATTTGTGGAACTTCTCGTCCAATGGCTTGCGGCCTGACGCAAAACGGCCACCTTCCCCGGGTTAACATGCAATGGGATGATGGATGACTGGCTCTGCATGAAGCCAGGCTTGACACAGCGATACATTTACAGTTGCATTGCAACTCGAAAAAGTGTTTCCAATGAGTGTAGGTCTTGTCCAGTGTTCCATCTCTTCCACTAGCGATACGGTTCGAGAGATGTTGCATTGATAAGCTACGGATCTTGTGTTCCGATGGTTTTCAGGCTGCTAATTACGGCTAGGCCCGTTCTGGAACCGCAATTGCCTGCAGTTGCATGCGTTACCCTGCGGTGCTTGGTGACTGCTGTGGAGTTACCACTGGTCGACAGCAATCAGTCCATCAGGTAGACCAGCGTACCTTAACTCTCTAATGCCTTTGCAAGGTGTAAATAGTGGATCGTCCATTGATGCACTCAGGCACCGTGAATTTTATAGGACATTGGGAGAACTGATGCGCCTCTTCGAGGTAGCGACACCACACATTGCGGTTGACGCGTCAGTCTGGGTCGCAATTCCCATTGAGAGAAATCGGGGTTCTTTCCTCTCTTGGTGTCCATTTTGCCCCCAACCCTTAAGATTAGTAAAAGATGATTGGTCCCAGCAAGAAGCGAACCCATTGTAGCCCAAGAACTGGGAAGATAGCGCCGAATGCATGGACAGGGCCTCGCTTGCCTCTGCTCCCCACTGACCCACACGCCCTGATGTCGTTCCCCTTGTGCCCCTACGATTTCCCACCTCCCTCCAACCATGCTCCTCACGGCTTCTTCATCGCCTTGACAAGTGCATCGCATATCGCCCGCGTGCGTAGAAGACAGTCTAACGCCGTGATTCCTCGACGGGCAATTGCCGATCAACCGGATCCAGGCCAGCGATGGATTGAGTTTCGACAACGCTAGATTTACAGCGAATTTACAGAACGGTCCGATACAATTCGCGATAGGTAATCATCGACGTCCTCGTCTACCCGCCGACTGATCACCGCACACGCTCGTTCATTTTTTTTCACTTATTTCCCATGTCACCGCCAGGCATTTCTCGCCATTCAGCTCTACGTCCCGCTCGTGTGGTGCGGCAGTTCCTCTTCTGAGACGATCCACGCACCTCCACACCTCAAGTTGATCGGGCCCCTCTTTCCCTATCCTCCGCCGCGTCTTGAAGACGCAGGCGCTTTTGAACTACCGGATTGACGACTGTGTTCTTCGGAACCCTCCGTGGCCATGCTGCGTCCTGCGACACCGCTGTCGGTGCTGCTTTTTGCAGCATTCGCGTTGCTCTTGCTCTCCGTCCTGTCGACTCCCATTATCAACGTTATCCCGCTGGGTAGCTGGAATGGCGTCAACTTTGGGGTCTTCGGGTACTGCGACAGCAACGGTTGCACCCCTGTAGAGATTGGCTATGACGTTCGTGAGTATTCATCGAGTCTGAGACCAGCATTAGATGCTCAAGAGCTCACTAACTGATCTGCAGGTCCTTTGTTTTCCAATGACTTCGACCTCGACTCTGGGACGCGCTCAACCCTCTCGGCTCTTCTGGTCATCCACCCGGTCGCCGCTTTCATAACTCTTGTCATGCTCGTTCTCGCCGTCATTGCTCATCTGCACAGCCCATCCCACTCGGCTAGGTACCTGCTGCTGCTGTTCATTGTGGGCATCCTCAACTTCCTCCTCTGCCTCTTGAGCTTCCTCGTCGATGTCCTGCTCTTCGTGCCCCACATGGCCTGGGGTTCGTACGTTGTTCTAGCCGCTACCATTCTGGTAGCTCTCAGCGGGTTGGTCTCTTGCGCGATGCGAAGGACTATTGTGAGCAGGAAGGCAAGGAAAAAGAGGATTGCTGAGAACGCCGAGATGAGCGGCGAGAATTACTACAATCGGCAGGCTCAGCAAGTTACCGCCCCGGTGACCTCGAGCACCCTACAGCCTACAGTTCCGATGGTTAGCGGCGCCAATGGGGGCGCCGACACTCTGCCCGAATTTGCTTCTTTTGAAAAGAAAGACGACCGGAGCAGCGATGAAAGGATACCCCTTACCGCAAGGAGCCCAACAGACAGGTCGCCAGGCACCTTCACGAATGACCAAACCACTCTGGTGAGCGACGCATCTGGCCCAAGGAGCCCGACCGATATGGCGCCCCCACGCTCGATGTCTACCACTCCAGGCTCTCGAGACCAGTACGGGAATCCCTTGCCGCCTCAAGCTGGATATCCCATGAGGCAACCATCATATGAGCGGGTGAATTCGCCGCCACGGGGCGGTATGGGCTACCGTGGTCGTGGTGGATACCCCGGGCCTGGTCGGGGCGGCTATAACGGTTATGGTCCCCCACCAGGAGGCCGAGGTGGATATGGTTCGCCAGTTCGCGGTGGATATGGCCCGCCCCCTGGAGGTAGAGGTGGTTATGGCCCCCCTCCGCGATGCTACGGCGGGCCTTCGATTCGTGGCGGACGGCCGCCCCCACCGAACTATCCAGGACCACAAGGTTCATACGACAGAAGACCTTCAGCCCCAGGGCAGTACGGTCCAGGCCCGTACGGCGCCGGACAAGCATCGCCTGGCCCACCATCGGCTCCGGCCTATGGGAACCAGTCCGTGTCCAACTTGTCTGCGGGAGGTTACGACGAACTTCCACGTGCGGAGTCCCCTCCGCCGCTTCCAGGGATTGATGATTCCGTGCATATCGGACAAGCGATGGAGATGGATGCCACAACGAGTAGCCCAGCACACTCTGCGCAAGGCTTCGGACAGTTTGGCATTCGGGATAGTGATTCTGATGTCGCAGGCATGTTAGCTTTGCAGCAAGCGAGGATGGGGGGTCGACACGACACGTACATGAGTGAGACAAGCAGATACAGCGAAGACGAGTATGTATGCCCTTGCTCACTTTCACGTTAAGCAGTGCCTAACCGTGGGTTGCCTAGAAATACATACGTACCGCCAAGGCAGGCATGGAATCAGGGACCAGGCAGGAACTCGCCTCATGCGCCGTCACCTCTGAGCACCGCTGGCCCTGTCGCCGAGCTTCCGGATCACAGGAGCCCGGTCCCTCAACAGCCGGTACCGCCACCTGGTGAGTACTATGAAGATGTCGATCCCCGCTTCGCGGTGCCTCCTGCCGTCCCTAGGCCAGCCACGCCCCCCATTCCGACGACGACTAACCCCTACGAGGATATTCCCCAAGGCTCGCGCAGTCCGGCAGAATCTGAGCGTTCCGCGCTCACCTCGATATCCCAACGAGGCGTAAATCCGCGTTGGAACCAAGCCCCACCGCCTCCGTCGGCACCGGGCTATGGAAGCAGCGTGATACCCAGGCGGCCTGTCAACCGCTCTGCCGACATGCTACTTGGCTCTAACCCGGACTTCCAGTTGTCCGCCCGCGGCAGTCCGCTTAGGCCAGCCGGCACATCGGTACCAGACAGCGCATATTCAAAGGCGACATAAATTTGGGGGCTGAGCGCTTCCGTTTCTGATAGAGCTCCTTCGGCGACAGGTTTGGAGGCCACAGCATAGGGACCAACAGTAACACAGGGCCCAATCCTTTTATTTTCATTCTACTACCGTTATTAATGACTGGGCCTGGTATGTGTTGCGTGGGGACGACCTTCGCTGTTTATGCTGTCTAACCCCCCGATTCGTCTCACCGAATTCAACGGCTGGCTTCACCATCCGAACCTACGATATATCCATGTGGCTGCTGTATCCCGTCTCCTCTGCTTGTCCACCCAGCATTTCTCGCAGACTGAACTGGCACGTCTTTTCGTCCGCCCAGGCACGCATGCGAGTTCCCGGAGCAGGTTTTTGTTTTCGCTTGAGCGCTCTTTTCTAGTATTCCTATTCATTTGTTGGCCTATAGAGGGCTCTGTATTACAATCATGTTATCTTATACCCCATGTTGTGGAACATTATCCTCAACCGCTTGAGGGCGCCAAGGGCAAAGGGACAGTAGCCGATGACTTAATGTCACCGCTTCTGAGACGGCCGTTTGGAGCTGAAGCGGGAGCTGGAGAGGACAGGGGGGTCACGTCATCTTTTCGTTCTCATTCCCGCCCGTCGATCTCTTAGCCTCATATTTCGCCCGGGGCGGAGATGACGGGGTAAACAAACCGGGGGAGGACTACTGGGCTGCATATATACCTACACTTTTAGCTCTCATCGTCAGCTACCTCGGGGAATGGGTTCGGGCCGGGGTATTTGAAAAACGGGACACACAGGGGATGTACATACAGCAGCAGCAGCAGCGACGATCCCAGCGGAAATGAACTGGTTTTTATTGTTTTGAATCCTGTGTCAATGGGTGATAGCATTGAATTGAGTGGCGTATGCTACGGGCTCTTGGCTCCTCTTTTGTTAGCCAGCTTCGAGCCAGCCTACGTTACTATGTAATAGATGTATCAATAACAAAGCCCATGAGAAAAGCGTCAGAAGAATGAGGAATTAGAAGAAGTTCCCAATCATCGTGGTAGCTAACTATCTACAGACTTGACTTTGTCGAATGGCGGGACCAGCAATAGAGACGTAGTCGGCACAGCTACAGACAAGAGAGAAGACTAAACCACCACCTCCTCCATCACACATACATGTCCGCAGAGCAAACTGGAAGCAACAGGATTGATACATACATTTTGATACATCTACATCTGAGTTTGCCGAAGCAAAAGAAAACAAAAGCAGCGCGCGGCGAAATAGACCCTGCCCGGTCTAACTCGGTACCGGTATGTAAACATACAAATGCGACGACGTACGGTGCAGGAAGGGAAGGAACAGCCAACAAAAGCGAAGATATTCCCCGATGGCGTACGCAGCTAGGGTATCGCTTCAGCCATAACCGCTCGTCATCCACAAGCAGAACAGCGTCCCTTAAGCAAGTCGCCTCTAATTCCCCCGTCTTCAGCGAGAATCCATGCCGGCGAAAACCCTTACTTTCTGCCCTTCCATGTCGACCGCCATCGTCATTTCGTCTTAGTATCCCAGTCTCTGCCTCCTCGAGGCCTTCTTCTTCTTAACCTCCTTAGGCTCGTCAAAGAAGCTGTTTTGTGCCTCCTCACTGCTGTCCACCCACGCCTCCTCGGCCGGGACGAATCCAGCGGGCCATGGGTTCTGAGCGGACGTGTTCGGGTCTCTCTGCGCCTTGTACCTAAGCAGCGTGGCATAGGCCAGGTCCATCAGAGCGCTCGCATCGTCATTTTCGGCCGCAGGTGCGGCTGTTGCCTCCCTCGGCTGGTGTGGCGCCTCATCACTGGTCTTCGCCTCCCGTTTCTCGGTTTGGCTTCCGTGAAGCCGTAAGCGCTCCTCGCCAATTACGCCGACGCTTTTTGCCGGCGAGATGCAGGAGTCGTTACGCTCACGCTGGACTTGTTCTCTGAGAATCCGCTCTATGCCAGAGTAGAATTGTCTGTTGATTCTGCTCGCTTCTGACGAATAGTTCTCGCCTGAGGACATGAGCTTCCCGACTGGGTATTCTTCGAACCAATCTCCTGCTATCGGCGTGTAGCGACCATCGTAGTTGGAGGGCAAGCTGTTAGGGAAGTACTCCTTGATCCTCTCAAAGGGAAGGGTATCGTGAACTTTGCGCTGTTGAGTACTATAGAAGACCTCCGTGGGCACAGCAGCAGAGAGTGCTTCGGTGAGCAGCGGAGATTTTGTAGGGCTTGGGAGTGTTCGGGAGACGGGGCCATGATCTCTTCCGGGGGTGAAAGGTGCGGGACGGCTTGGACCTGGATTTGCGCTAATGTGGTCGAACTCGCTCAGGGAAGTGTTGCCGCCATTGTACGATGGGGCAGTCGAGGGCTTGAACTCGAAAGGCCTAGTTGTCTGCGGGGCATAAACAATCGGTTCCTCTGGACGGAGAATCCTAGATGCTGCCTCGAAGGTCGACGGCCTGAACTGTCGATGACCTGGTGGGCCTGCTGTCAGAGGCTTTGGTGGTCCGGCCGCGGCGGCCGCTGAGCCGTATGAATTATTAGCCAGGCGATCCTTGCTCAAGTCCGGGGTCATAGATGGAAAAGAAGGGGTGTCCGGACGACTGAGACCAGGATTGCCATTTCGAGCTCTTGCCAGGGCTTTCTGAGCAGCCTTTTGCATCGGATTGGGGTAGGAGGCCAGGTTGGTAAGTCCTTTGACGGTGATGCGGGACGAAGCCAGTGTGTCTTCGGAAGCACTGCTGTCGTCGCCTTCAATGCCTCCGGGTAGAGGTAAGTTACCTGAACGAAGGCTGGGCATCGGAATACCAGTTGTGGCTACAGACTTGCTCGGTTCTGGTATGGGGCTAACTGCTCGATCGTAGTTTTGCTGGAGTGGAGAGTACTGCTGATGAGTCGCTGTTGTTGCCGGAGGCGAGGCAGGCGCCGTGTCGTTGAGAGATAACGTCGAGAGTAAAGCGTCCGGAAACGGTAAGAAGGACTCTCCAGTTGGCGATCGAAGGGGTTGTGGAAATCGACGTGCCCTCGCACGGCGGGTTGGCGGCTGGAGCGGTGTTGTCGCCTTCGGGTTGTAAATTGAACCGACCGTGGTGTAGGTACGCTGCTCGGTCGCTTCGGTGTGTGAAGATGGGACTGTCGATGAGTTAGATGAAGCAGATGGAGAGCTGATCGCAGTCATAGCCCGTTCATACGACTCAGGCCAATCTGTTGCTCAAGTGAAGGCGAAGGGGCAGGAGAAGAGCGGGAAGAAATGCGAAGGTGATTGAGAAGTCGAATCGACGCGCCGAGCAAAAAACTGCCCTCCGGACATGAGACCAAAAATCGGCGGCCCGTCCAGCGATATTGAGATCCACGCCGGCGAGAGAGGGAGATAGCGGGTGAGGACTGTGGATAAGGGCTTGGAAGGGAAACGACGTACCGGTTTGGCTTGACATGCCACCTTCTTTTCCGAGAGTTTCGGGCTGCTGAGGGAAAGGATCGAATCCTCGATTGGGAAACATTATGAAATAGGGAAAAACAGAGTTGCTGTCGCCAGTAGTCCAGATGGGACAGGAATAGGTCTCGGCGCTCCTCGTTCAGCGACACCGCACTGCGGAGGGAAGCAGGCGGAACGTGTCAGCCCAAACATGAAGGCTTATGAGCACCTAAGAAATTTCTCGTAGGCAGAGGTGGATGGGTTAGTGGCTTTATGCTTCAAACCATGAGAAATATTGCGACTGCTCAAGGGAATGAAGTCAGTCGTCTTCGGGGGTGCTGCACACGCTCTTCACAAACGAGGCACGCCACTACCATATGAAAACAAACAAGTAATAGAAATAGGGGTCAACACCATGAACCAATTTTCACAGCGCCTGTGAAGATGGTAATTTGTTAAATCAGCCTTCCCTTACTGCTGTCAACGATTTTCGCATCAGATGCGACACAAACGTACCTTCCGGTTGTGAGGGCGTTTTGCAGATCAGATTCGTCGAGTGCCTGAGTTGACTTGAGATTTGGGAAACGGGTAAAGTACTGAGGGCTCGAACGGGATCAATACGAAGATGGAGAGGAGGGAAAGAGAGGTAAAGAAACGGCAACCGCTATTGTGGCTCTTTTGCTCTTTCCTCCGGGTGGGAGCCTGCCCCGACAACTTCTTCAGAACCCAAACCTGTGCGCACAATAAGGTAGTCGTCATAGGAAATCAGTGGCTGTTGAAAAAGTGGCACTGTATATTAGGACTTGAACTGTCCTTGAATGACCCGTCCCCATTGATGGTATTGTCTGTTGAATGTGGCCCATCATGATTATCATGCAGACACCCTGCCAAGAAGTTCAACGCATTTTCTTCCATCACAACGGCCGAGAAGCACATGGTGTTGTCACATTCTCATGGAAAACAATAAGTGTGCGACGAGTTGAGAGCCTGCTTTCTAGATGAAAGCCACTTGCGACTCTGGCCTTATTCTCGCTAACTGTTGGCGGAGGACGGGCTTCGTTGCGTGACAGGACAATGCTGCCGGGGGTGAGATATGATCAAAGACAATATCAGGCATTATCGATTCCAACCCAGTGTATTGTTCCAGGTGCCGGAGCGTTCATCCAGAGTCCGCCGAGGAGCAGAACTCCCCCGACCCCGCCCCCCTGAATCTCCTAGACAACCTGAGAGGGAAAGTCAATATTGGGTTTTACTACCCTGTGATAGGGAGAAACTTAAAGCAGCCCCCCCGTGTCTCCCGGATATTGCCATGGAACCCGTCTAAAAACGTCGGCGACACCTGCGCAGGGCGGTCTGATCCTTGGAGCTTACGCCCATCTGTGCTCGCTCTGTTAGGCCAGCGAGTTGTTGACCTTTTCTAGCTACCCCATGCCATATCGCTCGTCGGCAGCCAGACAAGAACTAAGCAACACGTTTGAGTCCCAGTGAGATGCCATCCTTCCGGATGGAGACTTGCTGGTTTCAAGGTGAAATGTCAAGCAAAGGTGCATTCCCGTCAGAGGATCCCCATTCGCCAAGGGATGAGATAAGCCAGGCATCAAGAAAGTCGTGAGACCAGACGCTTGTTCGAGAGCACCACCAGGCGGTGAGAGGTATGAGTAGCAACGGAGATTGTTCGGCGAGGGAAACAGCACGACACTATAACGGAGTATCCGGTTCGCCGTCTCTCCAATGGCATTGACAGAACCGGAGGTGAGACGTATTAAGTGAAGTAGGGACTGCGCCCGCGGACATCTAGTGTACATACCATCAGAGCCTACCACACGCTGCAACTCTATGCATACTTGCGGCGCAGAGTGCCATCACGAATGGGATGGAAGTTATGGTCAAAATATTGCGCGAGAGGAGGACTGACGCGAATATCCCGTTCCTCGACGTCTAGGTACCTTAGTTCGCTACATCGATCGATACAGTACAACGCACCATACCTAGTTTTGAGGACATGCAATTCTCTACGGTTGGACCGAATGCTGGTAGGGCCGTACAGCACTATACCTCTGAGATCTTGTCTTTGATTCTTACATGCTTCTAGAACGTCGGAAAATTCATCTCGTTTGATCCTCATCTATGTATCTCCCCGGGCCGTCCTTCCCTGTAAGTCCAATACATACGGAGTACGTACACTACATGTGTTATGTACGGAGCACGGATCACAACTCTCCACCGGACAAGCGGAGTTAACTTGGGTACTTACCGTAGTGACCGTACTTTAGCGCTCCGCGGCGGAACTATGCCCAATCTAGTTACCGCGCGCGGCGGTTAACGTTGGCTGCCAGCGGAGGGAACGCCGGTGAGCAACCTCAAGCATGCTGTGCTTGAGGCCGGTGCAGGATCTTGAGTTAGCCACACGCTGTCGAAACCCAATTCCATCGCGGATTTGTTTGTGACTGATTCATCACAGGACAGGCGTTTACACACACTACACAGGTAACGTTAACAATTCGGTACCGTATTCATACCACTTTCGGAGCACACCACCTAACTTCTAAGGCATTGTAAAATACAGTACCTCCGTATGTATGTACCAAGTAAGCAGTTTACGAACCATCCAGTGAGATGGCCTCCTGTTCGACCCACGGGTCGGTTGACGAACTGTGAATCTGCGTCCTAATGGACGGGGAATGCACTGACTCCCTGCAGTGTTTGGGCCATAACCTTGTTTAACCCGTCCGCCACGTTGTTGCCCATGCTACTGCGTCCGTACCCTTTGCAACTGGTCGTGAATGGACGTGGCCTTACGAGTGTAGCTTAAGGAAGTCTTGACCTACTTCGGTCGAGTCTACACAGTATGCTGTCGTCCTGTTGAGCCATGGAGGTAAGTTCCTACCTAAGGTAGATATTAGCACATCCATCGGATTTGCGGGTAACGGAGATGGGCTCGTTTCACTCCTTCCTTGAGCGAGGCGACAACGGGGCTTGCCGATGACCTTAATTCCCCTCGACGCTTAATTACCCCGCGCAGGGCCTCGCACTGGGCTTGGGACGGTCGGGCCTGGCCTGTTCAGCCCATCAATCACCGCAGCCTTAACTGCGCCGGCCCCTGCTTGGCTGGCTGCGAAAAGTACCCATTTCTAAGCACTGTGCCGTTCACCTTCCGCCTAGATCCCAGGCTCTGCCGCAGCCTAAAGAATCGTGGTTCCCCTGCTGGGACGTCCCGTGCTCCCCCGGGCAGTTAGCATTCATGGGTTCTTTGCTTTCATGCTTGCGCCTGCTTCTGGATCCATTCCGTATCAACCTCTCTCAATTCGAATCCTCAATCGAAGAGAAGAATAGGACTTAGACAAAGAAAACATTAGGAATTCCCGTTGGCGCCATGGACTACACACATACAGCCTACTTTCCTGGCGCTCCGCCCTACCAATTCATGGGATCCGCCATCCCTCCGCTCACACCTTCACACTCCAACTCGGTAGCTTCGGATGAATTCAACACCACCTCGCCCCCGGTAGGTTCTGCGCCCGCCTTCATAACGACCCAAGATGAGATGCTCCGAACAGCCTGGAGGGAAAGAGCAGAAGAGGGAAAAAGGGAGATGCTGCAGAAGGAGATGCGTGTGGCCTTTTTGTACCCATGATTCGAGCCGCTCATCAATGGTCCAAATCTGCATTTCCCCCCGGTGTAGCTGACAGTAGCACGCATGTTTGCGGGACACGAGGCTTACACAATCATGACTCAGGAGGTCTACGAGCAATTCCCCAGCGAGCAGTTCCCCAGCGGCCTTCCTCATGATCAATTCCGGAACTTCGACAACTATGTCCAGTTTAACGCGGCCCAGGCCTTCCCCGGGCCGCCGACACCGCCAGGCCCGCATCCCGCTGCACACGGTGCTGCTGCAGTGCAGCCTGTCAACGGCGTCGTCCAGCAGCCCGGCCCCACCCCCGACATCCTGCCCGTCTCCAAATCCGACCCTGAGGATCTGGCACAGAGTCGCAGACAGGGCTCCAACTCGGAGGAGGACGACCTGACCCCTGCTCAGTCCAGGCGCAAGGCTCAGAATCGCGCAGCGTAAGTGGGCGGACAAACGCTCCCCCTTCCTTGTTGCACCAAACACCTGGCCATGACCCGCATACTTATCACGCCAGCTCCTGGGCTGGCTACCCTTCCATCCCTCTGCGCGCCGGCACCTTTTTCGTTGTTGTTGTTGTCTTTCTGCAGATCTCTCTCCTTTCTTCATCCATCACTAACCGCCGCTGCAGCCAACGTGCCTTCCGGGAGCGCAAGGAACGCCATGTCAAGGACCTCGAGAGCCGCCTGCAGCAGCTGGAACAAGCGCAGCAGGAGACCATGTCGGAAAATGAGCGGCTGAAGCGGGACCTCCAGAAGATAAGCACTGAGAACGAGATCCTCCGCGCGACGTCCCTGGTCACCGCCAATTCGGGGCCTCCCGGCGCCAACGGAGGTCCGACGACGACAGGGCCCATGACCTACACGCCCAACGATTTTTACTCCAACGTCCTCGAGAAGCACACCAACAAGACGCCCAGCCACAGGATAGTCACGAGCGACAGCGGGGAACGCCTCCTCGCCGCGGGCGCCGCATGGGAGTTCATCATCAATCATGAACTGTTCAAGCGCGGCCTCGTCGACGTCGGCCAGGTCAGCGATCGGATCAAACCCCTGGCCAAGTGCGACGGCCAGGGGCCCGTGTTTGAAGAGAGAGACATTGTTGAAGCCATCAAGCAGAGTGTTGCCAGCGGCAGTGACGAGTTGATATAGTCAACAAAAGAGAACATGAAACGGAGTCCAACGCCGACTCGAACCTGCCCCACGCTAAAAATCAGACCAGGGGTGCGATGAAGCGGAACCGGTATGTTGTGGTGCTAAGGGATAGGTGAGTATGACTGATGAGAAAAAATAAAAACGAGATATGGTTTAAGCGAGGGGCTTCAGCGCAGAGATGGGCGTTATATATCGCGGGTTTGGGAACCATCACCGGGTCTGAATAGTGGCAAAGGGTGCCAGCCAGGGTAGCTGGCAGTTTTGTTTACTTTCTCCGATGGTTCCTCTTGGGCCAGGGGTTCTTGGGCAGTGACCTATCGGAGTTTTGGAGCTTACTTGGAAACATTAGTACTCAGGTCATAGGTGGGATACATCAAGAGGGAACGGAGGGAATGGAGGGAACGGCAAACAGTGCGGGGCATAGGCTTCGCATCTTTCTTTGAAAAGGTTGTCTTGGAGGGCTATACGTGTTATTGCCAGTCAGCGTTTTAATTTGAGACAGCATGAACCATCACATCACTTAACGGGTGCAACGTCAAGTTGTTACAATCATGGCGTTTCTCGTAGAGACCAGTCCGGGGCTACATAAACAAATATCAAACAAGCTGGTATCTTGAGCATGCTAAATTAAGCGTCAAGGGGATAAAGGAAGAACGCCGCCCAATTACTCCTGACTATCCAAGACCCCCAGCTCTATATCATTATTGTTAAGCCGTATTCGTACAGAAACACAAGTCGTTTCGCACCCGTTGAATCCTGGCCACCTGTCATCATTCTGCAACTTCCCAGTCGCTTGGTGCCGGCCCCCTACTGGTCATAATCCTCGTTTCCATCCCCCGTCTGCGTCCTCATGATAATATTTATCCACTTCGCCCTCGTATAGTGGCGTGGGAATTGCTCTCTGGAGAGTCCGATGTCCAAAAAAAGCCTCATTACTGCCTTTTCTTCTCCGCTACCGCTCCGTTGATCTGCATGGAACCCGCCCCCGCCTCGTCACGCCCCTCAACCCAGGGATGCTTGATGGTCAAACACCAAATATCCAGGTAGTCGCAGATGGTGACGATGACGTCCACCACAAAACTGCCGTAGACACCCACGGCCATGCCGAGCATGCAGAACATGAAGGCAACCTGATAGACGCCGTCGCCGAGGGCTGAGGGCCAGCCGAGCCAGGGGACGGGGCTGTGGCGGAGGAGGAGGGGACCAAGGGAGTCGAGCACGCCCCATGCCAGGGGTACGACCAGCACATTCCAGTAGGGAAAAGGCAGCTTGACCAGATGGGCCGTGATCATCTGCCCCACGGAGTAGGCGTTGACGATGCCCACAAAGAGCGAGAAGGGCACCAGGTGGCCGTGCAAAATGGTGGGCTGCAGCCAGAGGTAGGCGACGACGAGCAGCCACGTGGCGGAAAAGGGCAGCAAGCCGATCAGCGCCCAGCGCGAGCGGTCGCCGCGCGCCCGCCGCGCCTTGATCACGTTGCGCGCCGACTCGACCGTGTTGTAGACCAGCACCACGGCGCCCTGCACCATGTACCATTCGGTGAAGGAAAGGTCGTACAGCATGCTAGGAATCTCGAGGCCGCCGGGGAGGGCCTGCGGGATGCCAGAGGTGGCGAGCATCCCCTGCTGCCAGAAGGAGGCGCCGCCCAGGTAGCCCGTCAGCGCGTAGACGCCGACCAGGATCAGAATGCCCTCGACGGGCCCGTTGACGATGCCCAGCGTGAGCGTCTTGGTGTGGTACTCGTCCCACGTCTGCACGTAAAAGGTGGCCAGGCTGGCGAAGAGGGTTGCGACCGTCTTCCACCCCTGGCCCATGTTCTGCGAGCCGGCGAAGAGGAGGACTTCGAGCGACGTGTTGAGCGCGTCGACGCCGTGGTCGAACAGCTCGCCTAACGGGCCGGACTGGTGGGTTCGTCGGCTGGAGAGAGGAGGGAGCGCTTTAGCATGTTTGCAACGGAAATAAAACAAAAGATACGGACGCGACCTACGCTTGGGTGCCGTCGACTGCGTCAAAGGTCTGGTACAGAAACAGGCCGGCGGCCCACGAGTAGTAGACCCAGGAGGGACAGTCCTGGTCTAGGCTCGGATTGTACCAGAGCAGGGTCAGGAAGTTGGCGACGATGAACATGAAGCCCGTGAGCGTGATGAGGTTGGGCGCCATGCTCATGGGGAAGCACTTGATGACGACATTGGTGTAGAAGGGCTTGAGCACGTAGCGCGACAGCAGCGAGTGGTCGACGCTCGAGTACTTGTACTGCCGCAGGTTCGGCAGGAACTCCTGCCTCACGTAGACCATGGCTGGCGATTTGCGCGCGCTGGGTTGCGCGACCTCACACTACGTTGTGCGCTTTGGTGTGCCGGTATCGAGTTGGCGATAGGAGCTTGGATCGGGGCGACGTCGCTGGTGCGACTTGAATGCTGCGCTTTCGGCAGCCAAAGAGCTGCAAGGTTTGGATTCGAGTCGCGCTTTGCAAGGAGCGTCTTGACGGGAGGTGAGGACTTTTTGAAATTTTGGAAATAAGAATAGAAGGATAGTGGAAATAGAGGACGAGGGGAAGAATGTCAAAGAAACAGCAAAGTGGATCGATCATCAAGAAGCACCGGTAGTTGGTATTTGGTAACTCTTTTTTTTCTAGTGTAACCACGGAGTAGTGGAGTACCTACCTCTGTATACACTTAAGTTACTGTCCGTGGCTCCATGCCGAGCCGATACGCCTTGCATCTCATCGCATCTCTCCAGCTTCGATGTTGGGACTGGCCAAGCTAAAGAAAAGCGGAAAGTAGTATGTCATGCCTGCATACCTTTCCATCTATGACGGCTGGGCAAACCAATTGTTCATCTGAAAACGGACAGGTTCATCCGTCATTGGAGACCGTCGCGTCTCTACGCGCCCTCCCCCTTTCGTCGATGTCATAAAACATGACGACAGAGCAAGAGCGCCAAGGTATCCGTATTCCAGTATGCATTCTGTACCGGGATGTACTGTGCTAGGGTGGACCAGGCGGTCACTGGTACTGGTGTGGCGGCTATGGCCTCACCCACAGGGGTACTTACCGTAATTACGGAGTACGGAGGTACACTACGGAGTATTATCCGCGTTCCATCAACCGTTGCCTTCCAATTGCTTACAGTACGGATACAAGTTGTGAAATACTCCATAAATGTCTGTAAGTTCCTGGGTCCATCGATATAACCATGGACAAAGTGGTCTTGACAGATCTGTATACCAGGTTACGGTTCCGCAGCCTTACTCTCCTCGTGTTGGTGTCCAGTAGAGATGTGGCCTTGCCCGGCAGTGATCTCAATCTGCTTTCCCTCTTTTTCTCACGAGCGAGAAGAAGCCCGTTGGTGAAAGTGCGGGCAAATTACCTAGGTAGTACTCTGCCATCAAGGTCTTTCTCAATGTTCAATGAACGTCGGTTCTTGAGTTGTAGGTGACTAAGTGGCCGAGCAGGAACACTGAAAGGAAGGCTGACAGTCGCCCAGAAGAAACCGGTTGCACGGAAGAGCTAAGGATCCATCAGAAAGTCAGCATTTTGCGGGCAGAAAGCCTAACAGGTTGACGATGGACATGATGTCAAGCCCACAACCGGTCGCTCAAAACGCAACGACGTGTCGCCCCCTAAGGTGCACCAGGCGTGTATATCGGATCATACTAACCCGACCTAGCCCGGAAGCGGACACTACTGTCGACGGCTTTCACTTCGAGGAAGGCCAGAGTTGCCAAATCCAAACCTTACCTACCTATACAGAAACTTTGATCCCAAGTGTATTGGTCGACTGACAGGTTTCCATAGGTTGTCCGTGGCAAAGACAAGCATTTAATCGACATTTACAACATATTGAGGAAGATACACTTGGACATTGACAAATGGTACTCTAAATAGTCGCCTAGGGTGGTATACCTGTCAATATTTTATTTACTGCTATGGTTCCCTGGGCTGAGCAGCTTGATCGGTCCCAGGATTTCTGGCCGAGAATCTTCTTGTTAGCGTTGCTATGGCCATCTTCGCTACTCTCTTTCATTTGACTCCGTTTCCTGCCTTCGCTATTTCAACCCGGAAGCTATGAGGGGCTGCCCTCAGGGTGACCACTGGTTTATGGTCCTCGCCTGGCTTGCTCTCATCGGGCACATGGTCATCAACATCCTCCTGGTCGACCAGGCCATCTTTCTCCTCGGTGTTCCAAAAGCCGTCCATGTTCCCCCATGGCATGAACATGTCCTCAAATCACCTCGTGCCACGGAGTGTGCCAAACTCCCGGTGGACAATCAGGGAACCATATTCAAGCAACTTTCTCAACCCACTTGCTGTAGATAACTCGAGCAGGAATTAGGTACATCTGGATTAGACTCCGCGGAGTGTTAGGCTTGCATCACAACCAACACCAGGCCCTCAGACTGATACTCAAGCCGCGGCGAAGAGAAGGTGTCCTCCGTCTTGCCCCTTGCCCCAGATCAAATACCTACGTGGGAATGGACCCACCACCAACGCCTACAAACACAACCAAGACAGCGGCATAAGCCGCAGTACATGCCAACACATCCTTGGGCTGCGAATCCACCATGAAGATGGCAAGGCAGATCGCGGTTGCAATGACACAGACGGACGGTGTGAGGACTACCGTGAGCCTGGTCGGGCGCAGGACCATGATGAGCATGGGGCCGACCAAGGCCACTCCCCCGCCCAAAGCCATGAGGAGACGAGCCACCAACGCTTTCCTGGCCTTCGCCTTACGCTCCGCCGACAGGCCGGAGACTGTGCCCCGGACGGCGTCGCGGAACGTCTTGTTGATCTTTGCGCGGAGCTCCTCGATGAGTCGCTCGGCGTCACCGGGGCTAAGGGGGGCATCTCTTTCGCCCGGTGACGGCGGCTTGGTCTGTTGCGACGGCGACGACTTCTTCATCAGCTCCTCGAGCGCCGCCATGTCCGAGACGATTCGGTTGGAAAAGGTTTTGTTTGGCGTGAATAAACATGGTCTGTCGTCCTCGTGGAAGGGCACGTTTGTTGCGGATTGCCGTTGCTGCTCGGATTTGGAAACATCGATGCTATTAGCCCATGATCCAAGTCTCCTCCCAGGGAGTTCAGGTAACTTTGTGTGTTGCGGGAGAGTGGTGCTCGACCTACAATACGAATCTAGTTCCTGACCTACGCGCCTCATAGTTCCTTCATCGACTAGATCCACCTCCTCTTTCAGAAGACGGAGCAGCCGATAGCGGATCGACAGGATGTTACACCGGTGCAGAAGTTTCAGCGTGACGTCCTTCTCCGACTTTGGTGCCTTCAACTTGATCCAGCTGCTGATGACACCGCTGCTGTAATTCTCTACATCTTTACCGACACTGGCGCCTCGGGGAATATCCCACGTCAAACTCCTCAGTGGCTGCCCGAACCCCATGCTTCCATCGTCATTGTCATCATCGGGTGATACGACGTCCTGCAACAAGAGAGGCCTGCGAAGCCTGGGCTGAGCGGGCTCATTGGGCGGCAAGGCGGTTGCCCTGGTATCTGTAACGACAGTGGCTTCTTCGACAATATCCGCAGCAGCCTCGACATCTCTTGTCTTGGTGTTGCTCATCGTCACAAGGGAGTTTGCACGGGGAGTATCAATTCTTGGTGAAAGTTGGTGCACTCCGGATAGTGATGCAGCGATTGTAGCAGCAGATGAATGAGGGATCTACCGGTAGTGGATAAGGGGGTTGGGTTGCTTCCTCAACGAGGTTACGAGGGCTATCAACCTAGAGGAAGCCAGGATCACTATATACTAGCTCAGAGGATCGGGGGCCAGAACGGAATGTTGACGGTTGTGACCAGGTCTTGATGGACCCAGTGTAGCTCGTTCTTCCCCTACCAACTGAATACTGTAGGTCGCACAGAGAGCTTCGGACACTATTGGCGGAAAGCGGTGACAACCTCGGAGTTTTACTGGCATTCATTGGAGCGCCCCCCCGCCCGATTTGCTGCCCACAGCGGACGCCACGTCCTGCAGTAGGGCTCCGGATCTCAGAGGGCATAGCTAGAGGGTCTACTGAGATAGGTATGTTACGCGTCTCGCGCAGAATGAGGGATGTCAACCTGCCAACTGACGTGACGGAGCAAGCACGACATGCATTCAACCACTCCAACCCCCCCCGAACCCAGCTCCTCAAAACCCAGCAGTCTTTCGGTTAGTCGTATAGCAGCAGCACAGCACAACTTCCTACTGGAACCTTTAGCCCGGCCGTCATCTGTAGCTTCCTCATGAATTTTTCTCTCTCGACAGTGAACAAAACAGAAAACAAGCATAACGCCCACCTGTCCATCCCATGTCGTCATTACGCAACCGATCCCACCACCAAAGCCGCCACGCCGTCCTCTTCGCTCCTCACCGTGATCTTTGTCGTCACGCCAGTCTTTGACGAAAACGCCATCCGCACGTTGGCCACCACCCTTCCGCCATTGACCGTCTTTCCGAGCAGCTTCAGCGTGTGCGTTGTCTGGTTGACGGGCACGTCTGTCCCCTCGAGCGGTTGGAGGGATAGCGCCTTGGCTAGTTGTTCGGTTGCCTCTGTTTTGCGAAAAGTTAGCACCTGCTATCCATAGACGAAAATAACATCGTCCAACAAACCTGGTATGCTCTTCATGCCGCTCAGCGCCAAAATCTCCTCGGCCTCCTCCCCCTGGGCACCCACTTGCTCCCACACATGGGCAAAGTTGCTAGCAAATGTCGGGATGACGTAGTCGCTACCTGACAGGTCAAACTCCGACACCTCATACTCGTCCTCGTACCCGCTCTCTTCAGGCTCGTTGGTCGTGGGGTCGATCTCCTTGCTGGTAAACTTGAGGACGTTGGAAAAGGTACAGACGGGCATGGAGCCCTCGCCATTGACCTTCCGGAACGCCACGTAGACCTTCCCAGGGACGTCCGTCTCGAGCTTTTCAGCCTGGACGATAAACACCTCCTCGAGCTCCTCTTCGTCGGACGGGGTTGCCACCACCGAAACATTCTCTAATATTGTCGCTGGTAGGGTGTTCTTGACCTCGTACTGTAACACAATGTACTCCTTGAAGATGTGCTTGACCACGCCGACCACGTACTCGGTCTCGGCCTCTGTTAGCTCCACGAGCGGTGACGACTTTAGGACGCTGCCGAACTCTCTCATTTCGGGGATCTGCATGAGCTCCTGGGCGTATTGCTGCGCCGCTGCCGAGGCCGAAGCGGCGGCTTCGGCGGCCGATGGCGCTGCCTTTGTTGGGCCAACCTTTGGCGGCTTGAGGGACGGGGCCGTAGCGGTAAGCTTCTTCGTCCTGTCTTCGGCATCTGCTTGCTCCCGTGTGACGATTGGGATTTTTGAGATATCGAATGGTGTCTCAAAGGCCGACTTGTCGTCTGACGTGACGTACATGACCAGCTGATGCTCGAAATACGGAAGCGCGAACATGTTGTCTGTGTATGGTTAGGAGGCAGGAAAGGGGGTAAAGGGGATCTGACAACTAACCGTTCTTGACATATTTCGTGGCCAGCTCGTCCTCCTCATGCATCAGCCTTAGGTTCAGGGCAGCACGATCCCGTACTTCGTCATCAACATCGTCCAGGCAGCGTGTAAGCAACACGTCCACGCTCCGCTTGACCTCGGGGTCCTTCTGGCCAACGCCGAACTTGGCCAGCGCTGTGACAGCCGCGGCACGGACGATGGCATTCTCCAGGACGACCCTGTTGTAGATATACCGGATGTACTTGGTAGGCTGTGACGTCTTGGGACCCTCGACGCCAAGGAGGTGAAGGATACGGACAGCCAGCTTCGTAAACTCGCAGTCCTCAATGAACTCGCAGAGATGGGCGAGCGCCTCTTCCTTTGAATCGGGAACAAACTTGATCAGATCAAACATGCTCTCCACCACGGCGCGCTTGAACTCGTAGCCGCCTTCGTCTCGCAGAATACCGCTGAGGAACTGAAGCATGCCGGCCTGTTTGCTAGGGAACTTGAGACAGAGCGTCCGGATAGCCTCGACAATGGTAATCTTGAACTCGTCAGTGATTTCCGACATGAACCCGGAAATCTGCTTCATCAACCGGTCTACGCTGGCCTCGTTGCCCGTCTTGAGCAGCGTGGTGATGGCGAAGGTGGCGATCGAGCGATTACTGTTGGAAATGAGGAGCTCAATGTCCGGGTTGCACACGTTGACGGTATGCGGCTTGAACGTGGCAATGTTGTGCAGGATACGGAGGGCGGCGAACTTTGTGACAGCGCGGGGCGAGGTGAGGAAGAGCTGGAGGACGTGGACGGCCTGCGATACCTCGGCGTCGGTGACATCGCGGATGTCACAGATGGCCTTGGCTGCCTCAAAGTTGACCATTTCGCTCTTGTGCCTGAGCCAGCCATCCAGCAGCTGCATCATGGGCTTCCTGAGCTGGGGGTCCTCGTCGGCCAGCTGGGCGGCAAGCCGGACGAGCATGACGATGGCGGCGGGGTTCTTCATGGCACCAGCCGCTCCGAACTGCTGAACCATCTTGACCAAGGCCATCCTGTCGTGCATCCGCATCTGGTAGAGCAGGCCAATCGCGTGGTACTGTGTCATGGTCGAGTTGTTGACGGGGAGGGCACCCGAGGATGACGAGAAGCCTAGGGAGAAGCCGCTAGAAGACTTTGTACTCGCTGCAGCCTCTTGGGTCTCGCTCTGCCACCGCTTGACCACGTCCCTGGCAATGGGGAGGAGGTGGTACGACGATACGAGGGCTGACGACGATACTGAGGGATTCTTATCTACAATGGCCGTTTTCATGACGCGCTCGATAGACTGGACCGTAGTTGCCTGGTAGCGTCACTGTCAGCTTGCTCCATCCCGAAACCGCCACGGCCCAAGAAAGTTTGGTGACTCCTACGTCGATAATGCGACAGAGGGCTCTGATGGCGTTGGGGCGATAGATCGAGTCGGTACTGCCGCCGGTATCCTTCATGATGGTGCTCGTGACCATGATAATGTCCTCGGCAGAGCTTGCCAGCTCTTTGATGACCAGATGGACCATCTGGCGCAGGCTGGCATCTTTGTTCTGGAAGAGCTTCGAGATGCCAAAGAAGAGCGTCGTCGCTTCCGTGGTGGGGAACTTCTCGCCCGTATAGAGAAGAAGGGCGATTTTTGTGAGGAGAATGCGACATCTCCGCGGCTGGATGGGCGACGAGTTGAAGAGACGAGCTGCAGGCCGCCATCAGTATTGTATTTAGTTTGATGGCATACGCAGCACAATTAGACGGGGATTGCAGGCCTGTTGCTCACCTTCCTGGAAAACCTGGGTCCGGTCGATTTTGACCAGACCCGTGTCGGCGTCTTCGTCCTTCTTCCCGTAGCTCATGGTGGGCAGGACGTCGCGGGTTGCGCTGGGGGTGAGGCTGGAGAAAGTCGAACTCGGCGACAGGAGCCTCTGTGGGAATCCAAGTCGCGACGTTGCCAATTGATTGCTAACGCTGCTCCTAAACGTTGCTGCCCCAATTGGGCGTTCCTCAGGGCCCCACAGCGCACACACCAGGATGATTTGGCCCGTGCGTATTATATGTATATTCCAGACACTAACCTAAAAGGGCACGTGGAAGGATAACTTGTAGTCAACACTTCACATCAGCATGCACTTCTATTATGGACTGATTACCTACGTGCGCGTTCTGCCATCGCTGAAACCAATGCATCAAGAGACAGACGGTCTTGCGATCTCTGAGCCTACCCTAAGATACTCTACAGATACATACACTGGGCAGAATCTGCCCAGACCCCCTTTTCGGTCTTCCGTCAATGCTTTTGATGCAGCAACATCAGGTATTCCTGTTCAGCCTTGCCTCGACCTTGTGCTGCTTGTGCCCAGCATGTCCAAACTGGTACCTGCCTTGTGACTAAAAAGCCCAGCAGCAGAAGTGATGAAGGAGAAATAAAGACACGCCAAGTTCCTTGTAAGCTCCCCAATCTGTATAGTCACATGGGAGGTGAGCAATTGAGAAATGCTGGCACCACGTCTTTCAGTGATAGATATATATGCGGTGAGGAGCACAGCCATGCAGTCACAATATGCACCTCAGTTCTGATTTTGCTCCTTCCTTATCACAATTTTGCGCCAAGAGGGCAATTGCCGAAACTGCGCGCCCGTATGAGGGTCCTTCAACCAGTTCGCCACTCAGTCGCAAGAAAAGGAGCAAACTAAGCAGCCGTCGCTTCTTGCGCAGGCGGCTGCGGCTGCAGTTCGGGTCCCATATCGGGCTCGGGCGCCGGCTGAGGGGCTGCTTGCGATAGCGCCGGGTGCAGTGGCATGTCTTGCTGGACAGAGTGGTTCTGCTCGACAGTGTTGTCTTGCTGGACAGCGTGATCCTGCTGGACAGAGGGGTCCAACTCGGTGTTGATTGGCTGGCCATTCTCATCGACATCCGCCTCTTTGCGTTCAGGGTTCTTGCCAACAGCCATTACGGCATTTTTCTCCTTCTTGCCTAGCACGACAAGATCAAAGCCCCTTGGGAGCACGGCATCGGCTCTGTAACAGTCGCTGCGTGTTAGCAACGTCCGAGTGACAGGGTACAACAGAGTGTGGTTAAATATGGGAACCCACTTCAGAAAATCTTGCTTCAGCAGGCGCGCCTTGTCGCGGAGAGCCTGCTGGTTTCGAGGCCGCTCAAAGGGAATGACGCCTTTCTTGATCGCTTCTTCAATGGCGCTCCATTTGCACTCATAGCTATCGACGGCTTTAACAAGCAACCTGACGTCGTTTCGCACCCAAGCCGAGCGTACTTGTGGCTCTTTGTGTTTGCGGTTCGCAGCTGATAGCTCCCGGCTCCGCTGGCTAAGAGCCTCATAATCAATGCCATCTTGCGCCTCGGGCACCATTGGTTGTGGATACTGCGAATGCGGGATAGATCCGGCTGGCGCGCTCGACTGGGCCGGCGCAGCTGCCGCAGCGGTGTCCTTCTTAATACGGCTTTTCCTCGCCCTCTTTGGCGGCTGAGCGGTCAAACCCCCAGCATCGCTGCCAGTCGGCAGAGGCTCATTCCGAGCGCGCCGCTTCCTGCCGGAAACCTCAGCCGCCGACGCTGCGTACATGGAGCCGTTGGATTGAAAGCCGCCCTGGGGAGCGGGCTCGCCATACCCCATTTCCTGAGAGCTGAAGCCCGGTGGATAGGGGATCCTTGGATAGGAGCTAGGCGTGAGCTGCTGACTGTCACTGTACTGGGAAGCTACTTCTTGTTCCATCTGCTTCATCTTTCGCAGGGCATCCACGTTGTAGGAGCCCGAAGGAGCACTGGAGAGAGTCAGCAAGACGCGGTGAAGGCTTTCATGAAAAACCGACTTACCCTGTCGCGGCCTGACTAAGCGCATGAGCCATTGCCTCTGTTTCCAACTGAGAACGAATCTGCGGCGAATCCATCCTTGCATTAGCATCTTCGGCAGGCGGGCGTAACGAGTCCCGGGCCGATGAGTTTTGCTGGAGCGACACCTTGATTCTACCAAAGCAATCCCTGACAAAATCTCGCAGACTGTCGACAAACTGGTCGAAAGAATACGTCTCATGCAATTGGCTGAGATCGAGGTTGAAACCATCGATTCGGTCGTTCGGCAGCATCTTGCAAATGGAGGAGAAGCGAGTGACATTGCGATCCCTAGCCAAGGCTGCCCAGCCAGAACTCGCCAGAATACCCTTGAGATGGATGGCATCCTCGTTGTCCCTCGACAAAAAAGCCCCGACTTCTCCACCAGAGGGAGTATCTTCGCACCAGATCTTAGCGACCTCCTCAACGGGATTGAACGGGGCAGGATTTTCCCGTCGCTGCTGCAGTGTGAGGATAGATATATGAGTCCGGATCATTAGAACTTGTTCAATGACCTGGTCGTTGGTCCACTGGTCGTAGTTGTCAAGACCGTCGCCGAAGAAGAATTCGGGAAAGACCGAGTTCCACTTGTTAAGACGTGGCAGGAGCATGGTGTGCCGGTCAATGGACACAATGTCTTCAAAAAGCGAAGTCAAATTTGCGGCCGAGACGGTCTTCATCACCGTGTGCCACAGCGTCGTACCAGTCGCGAGCTTCATGGTGTCGACCACAAAGGCTGGGTTCACGACAAAGTCGGTGATGTCAGACACGTAATAATCTCGGTAGGCGTCAAAGGGGACCCTAAAGCCTCTCCGCTCTGCCTCCCACATCACAGCATCTTCAGACTGAGAGCAGAGATGGGCGAAGAAATCATCACATGCGTTGAACAGGCGCGTCAGCATGGCATTCATGAGACGCGATCGAGCAGCCTTTCCGCTGGGGCTTTGCTCGACCTCGGACATGGGATGCGCAGCTCGGGCAGGCGTGCCAAAGCGACCATGCGCTAGAGTTGTTTCTACAGCGCTTTTGTTAGCCTCAACGGACCCAAGTTCGGTTACTCTTGCGACACAACCGTCCACTTACTCGGCGGCTCAGGCTGGGAAGAATACGCATCAGTCGTTCCCGCCACGCTGACGACGCTGGACATGCTTCCCCCCCTCACACTCCTGTCCAGGGGCGCTCCCCGCCGGGCGATTAGTGGTCGGTTGGGCGCCTGGAGGTTCTTAGAACTCGGGATGGGTGGCGGAGGCATGGCGGCATCCTGGGAGCCCGCGATAGCGGGGTCGATGATCTGCTGATATCTAGGCTCGGGCGTCTGGACCTGCACCTGGGCCTGCTCCTCCTGATTCTGGGCAGGTTGAGCTTGAGCTTCGCGTTCTGGTTGTTCCGGATGCGCCGCGTTCTGCTGCTGTTGCTGCATCTGGCGCGTCGATCGACGGCTTGGGCCCGCGCCAGGCTCCGCAGAGCGCGACGACGACGGACGTCCCCTTCCGCGACCAGACATCGAAATTGACAAACTTCCTAACCGTGATCAGAGGATAGTATCGGGTGTCGTTGAGATGCAGAGGATGAAGGGTTCGGGTTAGGGTTTCATCGGATGTGAGGAATTGAGGATTGTTTTGAAAATTCGTTCGCAAGAGGGCGGCGGCACAACGTCGCGTCGCCCGCTCAGGTTTTTGTGGGTTAGGGTGTGAAAGCACGTGAATAAGACACTGTCTTGAGCTCACGTGACTTGCGGGTCGTGCTTGGGTACCTTAGCTTAGCAGCCTTAGGTTTGACGGCAGGCTCTAGACAAGAACTTTAATAATACAGTACTGTATTTGATTTTGCCCTCAAAGTTCTCTGTCTGCTCGAAAAGGACTAGAACTAGTAGTTATGAGGACATGAACTGTACCATTTGAACAACAACGAAGACCAGAAGCTGTTGCTGATCTAGGAGCGCGAAGACGTGACCTCGGGACCTGTTCTCGTTGTCTGCTCGCTGGAGTGACAGGATCGAATACCACAGAGGCACTTAACACCATTTCGACATTGCGGGCTGATCAATGATTGTACAAGATGGGACAGGCCTCAGGTGCAGGAGACAACTTCAGTAAGCACCTAGAGTCCATGTGCTGCGCCAAACGGTCCCGAGGAGTCGTATCTATGCACCAACGGCGGCCACCACCAAGGGGGATGTATTAGCAATGTAATCTGTTGGTAGAGAAGTATTATATGATTGGCATTGTGTTGTGATAGACTCTCGCTACATGGAACAAGCGCCCGCTGAAGAAATGTATAAGCAACTGGTTTACGACCCGTTTGGTCTTCACCCTATTCAACGTTTATTTGGCGATTTCCACACCATTCGTAGCACCTGTGATGACGAAGTTAGAAGTCTGATATTGCTGCGAGCATATACGGGGGCAAGTCTCATAAACATACCGAGAGCTTTCTTGATGTCGCCGTATATCGCGAATTGCCCGGCAGTCAACCCGCCCACCATGAAGAGACGCGTGGGGAGACCGGCAAAGGAGCCACGTACGCCAAGCTCGCGGGCAATCTTGGCGAGACGGGAGACGGTGCTCTCACCGGGCAGTCCCTTGGTCTTGTTGATTTTGGAAAGCATCGTATCGGCCGGCTGCGACACGATGGCGGCAGCAAAGCCAGCGATTAGGCCAGAACCCAGGTTAATACCAGTCAAGGCACTACCGGAGAGTTTAGACTTGTCAAATTGAGCGAGGATGTTCTCGGCAACCTCCTCGTATACAACGAACTTCGTAACCGTGTATGGGACCCTGATGAATGCACAAAGGTTAGCCAACAGATCTTTAACAAATGTGGGCTGAGACCGGGAAGAACATACTGTTTAAACAAGATCGGTCCGAAGCCGGCGTAGAAGGCGCCGACTCCCTCGGTAGTCAGAATCTTGGTAAAGCCATCGACTAGACCTTTGGCGTAGCTGGGAGTAGAGACGAGCCGGATACGGGTAGCCTCCAAGGGGCAAAGGGCGACGGAAGCGAAGAACTCGGCCGAAGAAGCGGAGACGGAGTACACGGCGGTACGGTTCTGACGGGCCTTCTCGATGCCAAGGAGGTCGATGGACTGCTTCTTAAAGAACTCGTAACCACCGAACTTGAAGGCGCCCTGGACAAAGTAGCCTGTGAACGTAGGACCGAAGCCCGTAGCAAGCGCGGCGATTCCTTCATTCTTGATGACCTGGCGGAAGCCGCCGATCATGCCACGGTTGTACGTCGCAGGGTCGAGTTGAATCCTGGTTTTGATTCTATATTAGGGTTATTAGCAAGTAGTCGAGAAGGAGGGCACTAGGGAAGACGTACACATCGACGGGCGTGAAGGCGCCATGCGTGACGGAGCAGCCGAGGGCTCCAGCCAGGGCGAAGCGGGCGTAGAGGTCCAGGCCCTCGGGCTTCTTCTGGATGACCTCCTTAACGGATGTGGCAGGGGCGGCCATTATGAGATGCGTGACGGGTCATGATCAAGAGACAGGAAAAAACAAGAGGAACAAGGCAAGGCAGGCAACGCTACCCCAGGAAACGAGGACAACGACATTGCGCCGAATAGGGAGTCCCGAGGGAGTGGAGTCGGAAGGACTGGCGGAAGAAGTTAAGGATTGGGTTCCACTTGCATTGTTTGGCTCCCAGGTTGTTGTCTCGTTGTTTGGCAATTGATCAAGCGGTTCCATAGCTTGGACGATCTGATTGGCCAAGAAAACGGTTCCTGTCGCTGCCAGCCCGGTACTCGCTTTCGGGTGATTAGGCCCGCGTGGCCCGCCTGCAGTGTAACCTCAGAGTTGGGAAAAGGGCAAGTGGGCCCTTGAGCTGGTGACTAAGGAACTCCATCTCAACGCCAGAATGTCTATCCTTTTCATACAATGAGAGGTAGAGATGGTATAACGAGGGAACGCAAACTCCGAGCTTACTAATTAAAGCTTTATAATCGAAGCTGTCCAAGGATCTATTGCGTTCTATCAAGTGGCATATGCTATAGCCTCTAAATACTAATAGTACCCTGGGTCCCTAACGTCTGATTGCAGAATGGCAGAACCTGTCTGCATCTCTCCTTTCCCCATCAAAAACAACCTAACAAAACAGTTTGGCTCAGAAATCCTTAACTGTGATCACTTGAAGTTCTTGAACCATGTCCGTCTACGTTGTCACAGGGGTGTCCAAGGGAATTGGCGTACGTCTGCTACACGCACCTAGTGACCTAATCCCACCGCGTTTGCTTACCCGTGCTAATTTGAACCCTTGATTTCAGTTCGAATTCCTTCGGCAGCTGTCGGAAGATAAGGACAACCTGGTCATTGGTCTTGTCCGTAACAAGGCTGCGACCGAGAAGAAGGTTGCCGCGGAGCTGGGCGACCGCCCCAATGTACGCATCCTCCATGGAGACCTCACCAACTACGCCAGCCTGAAGGAGGCGGCCGCCGAGACGGCCAAGATCGTTGGCGACCGTGGCGTCGACTACCTGGTTGCCAACGCCGGTCTCGTGCCCGAGTTTGATGCTTACGGACCTGTCAGCGCATTGTATGTTACCTCTCCGGGCTCTCCCTCTCCTGACGGCCACCACTCGGCTCCAGGTTGTTCTGTGATAATGTGGACTAATGGTAGATGTACAAAACAGGGCCGATAAGATCGAAGAGGTCGATGCTGGTGCTGCCGAGACATTCCAGACAAATGTCACCGGCCAGCTCCACCTCTTCAACCTCTTTGTTCCCCTGATCAAGAAGGGCAAGGCCAAGAAGGTCATAGCTATCTCATCTGGCGTGGGCGACATCGACTTGACCAACCAATGCGAGATGGACGTTGGCCCAATCTATGCCGCATCCAAGGCCGCCCTGAACATTATCGTGGCCAAGTTCAACGCGGAATACAAGAAAGAGGGCATTCTCTTCTTGAGCATCAGCCCGGGCCTGGTAGAAGTCGGTCGCTATGATAATGGTACGTACTTATCTCTTCCAGCTCTGGCGGGGACGCCTAAGTACCAGTAGTGGACTAACACCCGACATTTCTCCAGCCACGCCAGAGCAGATGAATGCCATGATGGGGCTCGTGGGCAAGCTCGCATCGTATGCTCCCCACTTCAAGGGTCCAATCACCCCGGAGGAATCGGTCAAGGCTGTTCGGTCCGTCTGGGAGAAGGCTAGCATTGAGGAGGGATATGGTGGTGCGTTCATCTCGCATCTGGGTAACAAGCAATGGGTGTGAAAATGCTTGCATGCCAGGCGCCTAGTACATGCCCTTTCTCTTTTTTACTACCTAGGTTCAACAGTTAGTAACTCTGGAAACAAAGAATGGATGTTCGTCAATGAATCCTTCAACTAAGTTGTTGAGAACGGTAAACTAAACCAAAGAATTATTTCATATTTGAATTGTTCTTGACACAATTCTGATTGAAAACCCATTTTCGAATCCCCACAACTTTCCTACGGCGGTCTCGAGATTCGAGAATGCCTAGAATTCATTTCTCGACATGACGACTTTCAAATCGACCACCCTCAGAAGCGACTCTTTGCATTTGGTTTGCAATCAATAACGACTGTATATTGGGTTTGACTGGTTGCCTATTTACTTCCTCCATAGCGGAGGGAATGCCCAGAACGGGATACCCGGATATCTACAATAATGGTTGCGCTGTGTACCGAGGTACTTAGGTATGTAAGTACCGTACATGCAGGTGCGATACAGCGACATCAGAAGTGAAGTTGTTGAAACTTCTGCCTAATCATAAGTTTTCATGCGACCCAACTGGATGGGAACCACCACCACAGGACACAGGTGCTGCATTCGAGAGATGCAGAAACATGAACCCTGATTCTCGCTCGGCCGTTGTGAGTGTATTCTGCCCCTATCTGCCCAGCCGCAGAAACTGGCGTCGATGTGCTCATACCCGACCCCAGTCCAGCCGTTGACCTCGTTGGCATTGTGGTCGCGCCATCCGGCCTGGTAAAGCCCGCTGACGCTGGTGATTCTAGCCCAGGTCTCGCCGAGATACGGCGCCCTGCACAGGTGGCCCTCGCGGCTGAAGTTGCGGATGTAGGCGACAACATCGCCCCACGTCGAGTACTAGTAGAAAGACCTCCCCGCGCTGATGGCGCCATCGCGCGATGGGTAGCACTGACGCTCCAACATCGGAACGGCCCTATCGGTGCTGTCACGGTTGAGACCGTAGCCGCCACAGCTGGTGTGGTCGTGTGCGCGCCTCTGAATGCGCGAGGTGCGCTTCAAAGAAGTCGAGTCACGGCTGATATCGTCCGAGCTTTGAGCAGCAAGCTCGGCCAGCTCAGTCGCGTTGATGGGCGCCGCCGCAACGAGGGTATGCACCTCTTCCCCGTTTTCGTCAAGGGACACCTCGTAGACGCCGTTAGCCTGGCCCTGGGCCTGGGGGACGGTGAAGCCATGGACCGCAGCCAGGCCGATGAAGGGGAGGACGAGAATGCTTGACAGGCGCATGTTGGAGACTCGGATACTCAAGTGATGGTGATGATGGGTGGAGTGGATGAATATCTGGTGGTGCCTGACTGCCTGTCGAGAAGAAGACGACTCGAAAGAGGACGGGCATCCCCCTTTTATAGATGCAGTGCCAGGTGAAGAGGAGAGCCAAAGGACCGCCTTCGGTTGTTTGCTTTGGAGTAGTCCTATGGGAGAACCTCTACATCACGACTTGCCATGATGCCTACTATGCTCTAAGCGGTAGGTTGCAGTGCCAGGTCAGTTCTGCATAAGGTAGATTCCATGTCTGTTGTCCTATTCAACACTTGCCTCTCTCCAGTCATATCCTTCACAGCCAAGAGACTGTTGGTTGTAAACCGGTGAGCAAGTAAATTGGCATAATGTGGCATTCGTCGCGGTCGATTCCAAGAAGCGTTCCGGCCTTGTGATGCTACCGTGCTGTTCGGATGCTGTGGATCCATACATGGGGGCTTTAACAATGTATTTGATCTCTTCATACTATTGAATAAGCGGGCACGTACTCTCTTAGTTATCAGACAACTCAGACTACCTTACCTACCTTACCCAGCCTTCAATACCTTACTTACATTCTGACGAATCAACAAGAACAACACTTACCACCAGCGACAGTGATGTTGACTATCACGGCCGTAGTTGCGCCTTTGTTTTATGCCCTTCATTTTAGGTTTGTTATTTGCCTTCCCGTTGTGTAGGACTAAGGTTGGTCCACTACATGCAGGTTCGGGTTGGCATCAGTGTCTCCGGTCTCCACTGGCTTACTTCAAGTTGCAATATTAGCTGCAAGGTACTAGTAAGCTTGCTTCCTTACACGACGAAAACTAGGTAGGTACCTAGCTGAGGTAGGACTACAGCGTTGCTCACGTCATATTTGATATTTCATGTTGGCGCAGGTTTTACTACGCCATGCCTGGCAACTGCAGAAATCGTTGCCCTTGCCCCTTTGTCGCTGTTTATGCCCTTGTTACCTACCGAGCTAACTGTTTACGCTTACTAGTTGTTCCACGTACGCCAGCCCGGATTGCCCTTTCCCTCTCCCGACAACTACTAGGTACATGGAACTTCATCAACCAATTCTTCTTATCATGTTGAGTCATTTGGTCCACTCCCCCGGCCACCCATGACCCACCAAGGCACAAGAGACTGGAAGAATGGACAGCCACCGTCTCCAACATTTTGGACCCCTAACTGCAGGTCGTCATTCCCAAAGCGCTCTGGCTCTAGCCGCCCTCGGCCGCCCTCTCTACAAGTAGGTTCCCCAGACAGGACATAGATTGCACGGGTTCTATCTTCCCCCTGACGCCGGGATCGGACAGTGATCGAAGGGCCTGAGATGGGCCGAGAACATCATTGGCGCTGACGCCCCTCGATTTCTTCCAGCCGGAGAGATGGCTCGAGGCGCAGTTCTCGATAGGGAGATTCAAGATCTCGACCGCGGTGGATCTGTTGTTTAGCTTTGGCCAGACGGGCCAGTACATGTGGGTGGGGAAGCACGTTACGCTGATGGAGCCAACGGCTTCCAAAGTGGTCTGTTGAGATGACGAGGTCAGTGTCACAGTACCTAACCAACAAAGTCCGCACGAAGGGCTTGCAAGTTAACGCAAGTGAGGCCCTAGAATTGCCCAATCCAGTCCCCGTTGACTTGCCTTGACTTGACTGACTTGCCAAGGCGCACTTTTCCTCCTAGACTGGCGATACTGGCGACATTTTCCTTCCATGTAGGTCGGTGTCCATTTCCCCGACCTGTTCCCCAGCTTGGCGACTGCCACAAGTTGTACCTTGCCCTGGATAGGGGGTTCCGGTCGGCTAACCGAAATCCTACCCCTATGGTCTTCCAGTCAATTCAGTCAAGCCCAAGGTACCTAGCAGGGAGAAGGTTTCTCTGACATTACCGGCATCATTACTATTGACCTTGGCATCATGATGTAAGTCCGGTGCGGGCGAAGGAAGCAGTAATAATGACGGACATCAATCAACGGCATCATGGCCCATGGATGATTGAGGGGCGCCCAGCTGGGCTTCATCATGTTCGGGTATGGTTGTCGTTCCTCGTCGCCTCGCCCATGCCAAACTCCCACGACAAGGCCAATTGTGATGATACCACAGAGACTCTCCTGAGTCTCCTCTACACGGCAGGTATGCAATCAAGGCAAATCAAGCCTGGGCAATTGAGGCCCTCTTGAAAGCAGTCTAACGCAGGTCAGCGCCCTGACTTGACTTGATTGGATTGGATTGTAGGGTTACCGGTAACTTGAGGTATGTTGCTCTCAGTCGAGCTGTGGTTTTCTTGTGCCTACATAGTGCGCCCTACTTGCAGAGGCAGTAGCCTGGCTTCCATGGCACGACGTCCAACGTTCAAGTGCCACACCACTTCTAATGGCCAAGAAAACGAAGGAATCAAGATACTAGTATCTGCTGGTCGCTAGAAATCTGCCTGGGAGGACCCGGAGGAGGCTGAGGATACAAGCCTGAAAAGCAAAATCCCGGGCGCAAGAGTCAAGACCACCATTATCGTCATAGATGATTCTAAATGATATTTGTGAAGCTCTCGGGGAGGCGAGCAGGGCCAAGGCAACGACGTCTCGAAGATCAAGGTAGCGAATGTTTATGTGGAAGGCATAGGCAATGAATGTAATGAATGTTCGTCGTTCGTCGTTGGGCAGGAACAGGTGAGCATGTGACGCGAATGAGGCACGTGACTCCAATCGATCGTTATTCGTTCATTTCTTGATATTGCATTTGTGAAGGAATTGGGGCACACTGCAGCGAATTGCCCGCTTATTAAGTCTTTAACCCGCATTTCCGTGCAATTTGGTCCAGACTCCTGAAGACCTGAAGTCCTGAACAGCCAGCCCCTTGCAAGGGTCAAGAATACCCAAAACTTCGAATCCTTCGCGGCGTCCTGTTCTCGAACCCAAAGCTTTCGCTTCTCACGTTCATTAAATTAATATACACATTCACCTAGAAGTATTTGAACAACTTGAGCGTTTCTCCTCGGTCCGATAGAACATCTGCATCTGCCAACAGTGCCTTCAACGTCATCACCCACACGCCAAGCAGCGCGGTGTGAGCCAAATATCCTTATCTAGCAGTCGCCCACCATGAGGTTGAGAAATCGAAAATCGCGGCTTATTCTCTTGCTGCTCCCCTCGCTCGCGGCGGCGGCCGCTGCCCTTGCCGACAGCCAGTCCGTCTCGGAATCCACGGCGTCTACCAAGAAGATAGTTACCGGTACCAAGGCTGCGCCTGTCGACGGGAAAGATGGAAAGCCGCACGCCGGCCCGTTTGTCGGGCTCGATAACAGCGACACATCCACGAAGGATCTGCCGGCTCTGAAACACCGCCCAGCCGACCCCACCATAGTGGACGGGAAGAGAATACCTGAGAGCAACGATGGCGTTATGGACGACAAGAATCGACCGGGTCCTAAAAAGGGCACCACAGGGACGGAAGGAGGGGTGAGCGAGAAGAACAAGGAGAAGAAGCTAAAGGAGCAGGCTGGCGAAAAGGTTGAGAACAAGCCACAGACGCCCAAGGAAGCGCCTCATTTACCGCACTCGGATGAAGAGAAGGTTCTATCAGACGGCCAGGGCAAACACGGCGACTATTCTGCCGACTACTCTGCGGACCAGGTCTCTGGGCTCGAGGTCCGTCTGCGCACAATCTTCTGTCCAATGAACGCAACCGCTAATCCCTTTTACAGAAACCAGCCGACCTTCCTAGCAAGACGCATGACAAGCCCCCTCCAGTCCCGGAGTCCGTGGCCAATATCGATCATCTCGATGTCTCGAAGGGCCAAAAGCCGGGAAAGACGTCCGAAGTCGAGAGCGAAGGGAGCGAAGGCCTCATCCAACCGTTCCACTCGTTTGTGCTCTCTCTCACAATGATTCTCTTTTCCGAAATCGGTGACAAAACGTTCCTCGTTGCCGCCCTCATGGCCATGAAGCACCCCAGGATGTTGGTCTTCTCAGCGGCCTTGAGCGCCTTGATCACCATGACGGTGCTCTCGGCCGTCTTGGGGCACGCGGTGCCCAGCCTGATCTCGAAGCGTCTCACAAATTTCCTCGCCGCGGCGTTGTTCCTGGTTTTTGGCGGCCGCCTGCTGCGCGAGGGACTCGCCATGAGCCCCGATGAGAGCGTGTCCGCCGAGATGAAGGAGGTGGAGATGGAGCTGGAGGAGAAGGAGAGCCTCGCGCGCAAGGAGGCTCAGGACCGGTCCGGCGTCTCGCCGTACGCCCTGGAAATGGGCCTCGGCACCCGCAAGTCCCGGTCCAAATCCCGCTTCCCCGCGCCCGCGAGGAGCCCTTCGACTTCGCCCGACGGACGGAGCCCGTCGCCGCGCCCGAGCACGGTTGCCTCGTTCCTGTCGGGCCTCAACAACCTCGTCTCGCTGCTTCTGAGCCCGGCTTGGGTGCAGACGTTTGTCATGACCTTCCTGGGAGAATGGGGTGACCGCAGCCAGATCGCTACAATTGCTATGGCGGCCGGCCAGGACTACTGGTGGGTGACTCTAGGCGCCGTCTTGGGCCATGCCTGCTGCACTGGTGTCGCCGTCATTGGAGGCAGGGCCATTGCAGGCAAAGTAAGCCTCAAAGTTGGTAAGTCAATGCTCCTTTCGGCTTGAACCTTCTTTTTCTTATGACTTTGGATTGCTAATGCTGCCTAGTGACGGTCGGTGGAGCCATCGTGTTCCTCTTTTTCGGCATTATCTACCTGGTTGAGGCGTTCTACACATAGATGGACCTCACCGTTGGGTTTTTTCGAGGCTCGGCTGCGCCGGCTGCTCGAATTACATCCAGGTGGTTGTATTTTCCCTTTAAAATTGTAATCTTACGCTGCGATCCGAGCTTTGGACCTTCCGCTTCGAAACTGAGCGGCTTGGCCGAGGCCTTGTTCAGGGGGCACATGTTTAGAGATAGGGCTGGCGCACACCGTGTTGTGCGCGCGTGTATTATCAAACCATCTCACGGTCCGGCAGACTTCTGGGCTTTGGGGAGACGGGGTTGTGTTGGCTGGTTATATAAGAGGTGAAGCACGCAGGAATGTCTCGGCATTGGCAGGAGTTTGGACAGGCAAGAAGGGATCAACGGGAACTGCTATAATAATCGTTTTTGTAGTGTGTGCTAATGCTGAGGCAATACAGCCTGAGGATGGGACTGCGTGGCGTCCCGGAGTCTTCATGCAGTGCTGCCCTTGTTGGCTGCAACTTCCAAGTACTGTACAGTACAGATTCTGGTGGGGTACTAGTTGACTCTGCGCAACGACAAAACCAATGACGACATTGCCAAACCTTGAACAGCGCATAACATCACCAGCTTTGTTGGAACGTACCTGGTACTTATGCTGCACCCGACTCGTGAAGATGTTGCCTTCCCGTTTCAACCGTATCAACAATCTGTTGAAACAGTACCAGTTGCATATACCAGCATCCTAAGAGTCAGCCAATCGTACACTGATTCACAAGTTCAACATGACGAGTCGCATTGTCAGTCATGCTCAGGACGTCGCGTAGGTCGCCCTTACAGGTGGCTTGGTATTCATCTTTTGGCTCACAAAATGGGTTTGTAGGAAGGAAGACTACGACCGAGCCAAAGTCCTCCTAAACGATGCGGCCAGGAGCGGCTCCTATCTGTATCCCATCAAGGTAGGACAAGCATCCTCGTTCTCGGATGCTGTATCGCCGGGGAAAGCTGGTAGCATCTGACACGATCCCGACAATCTCAGGGAGTCGCGTACTTTTTCACCCACCCCGCCCTGTGGAAGCCCCTACGCGATAAGCTCATTCCCTACCTAGCCCTGTGAGTAACAACCTACCTAAATCAAACCCGGGAAAAGAGTACAAATGACTAACATTGAGGTTTAGGTATTCGGGCGTGGTGGGATCTATGTTCGTCTTCACTTACGTTCCGCAACTCGCCGTCCTGGTGTTTGTCAACGGGCCGCTCGCCGTGTTCACAACGGTGCTCCTCATTCTGAGCGAGAGTGCCACCATCGTGTCCTTCGTCTCCAAGAACTACCTGCTGCAGGACGCCATCCTGGACACGTTTGACGGCACTCTGGTGGCGAGGAACACCACCAGCCTGGTCTCAGCGGGCAGAGAGGTGAAGGGCGGCCAAGGTGATGCCATTCAGAGGCTGGGGAAAGCCCTGAAGAAGCCGTTTAGTCGGTTCAGTGTCAATGAGTTGGTGCGGTACTTCATGTACCTGCCGTTGAACTTCATTCCTGGTACGTTATGGGCTTCGCAACTGCAAGCTTGCAACTTGTGCGGGACGATGCTGACTTCGATGACAGTGGTCGGTACGGTGGCGTTTATTCTGTTACGAGGTAAGAGTGTGTCCGTCAGTCGGGTTGATGTGTGTGCTGACACGCAGTAGGACGCGCTCGTGGTGACGCGGTCCACGATCGGGTAGGTTTAGGGTTCTCTATTGTCTCTGAGCAACGGCTTACAGGAACTAGTATTTCCAGCTGAAGGACTGGTCTGGACCCAGGAGGTCAAAATGGCTTAGCGACCATAAGGGTCCTTATACTGCGTAAGTGATGCCACGAAAACCAACAAGCCCGGCGAGCTGTGATGTCCAAGGCGAGCTGCACATCTCATGTGCGCATGAGCAGGCACGATGCGGTTCGACTGGTTGGCAACGCCGCCAGAAACCATGCCGCTTGCGTACCCCTTTTGGATGCCGCCCGGCCGATCACAGCGCTAACAGTGTTCGTTTCACCAGATTCGGCACCGTGGCAACCCTCCTCGAAATGATCCCCGTCGCGTCGATCGTCTTCACCTTCACAAACACGGGTAAGTCCCGCCAAGAACCCAACTCATGGGGAAAGCAAGCGGCTAACAACCTGGTACAGTTGGGGCTGCTCTTTGGGCAGCTGATATCGAGGCAAAGGAAACCAAGATGACAAAGTTTACCGCTCCCGAGCTGCAAGAAGCGGCCAAGAAAGCCGAGTGAAAACCATGGGAAAGGTATCAAGGCTCCGGCTGGTAAAGTTTCCAGGAGGCTTGGGCAAATCGCGGTGCAGGGCTACACGGACCCGATTGAGTGTACACCTGCATGATGCGAAGGCCGTTCATGTTGTGCGAGTGCCGTTGGGTGGTGACGACAGATAAACGAGGAGGCACGGCATCTTGTCACAAGGATGCTGTACGCTACGAGATGTCTCACTTCGGGCTCCCGTGAAAAGGTTCAAACGCTATCCCTCAAATTGACAGGGGTGATACATTTCTTCAAAGTACAATAGGAGACTCGAGGAGTTTGTACTTGCGTGACAGTGGACCGGAGATTCGCAAACAATGACAACCGCTGGTACTTAGTATCTCCCAAGCGCCTAAAATGCGAAAGAACTGACGCCTTCTGATCTAAACATTCGTCTGAACACCAAACTACTTGATACCCAAGGGTGCTGTCCGAACCCATAACAGGTTGGCGGAAGGCTACCTTAGATGCTTAGCTGACTTGATATCGCCGCCTGCTACCCGAAAGCTATCTGTATGACAGGGGATCTAGTCGAGTCCTTGATCCGACGCGTATCTGGTCTGTCGCTACTCCCGTAGGAAGCTTGCTTGTTGTTCAAGGTAACACACCCCGGGAGCGGGCGACTGAGTTCCATTTGCGTTGCCATACGGCCGCACAGCGTCAGCCGAAGACTGATACTCCGGAAGTGACCAGATATGTGAGTAATAAGGTGCCATTGTGATAAGGGACGAATGTGTATGAGGGGTGATACTTCTACTACTTACTGGTAGCAGTAGAGAGATCCCTCCGTAAAACGGCTCTCGTGTGGTTGTTCAGGCGGAACTCAGAGTTAGACAGATTGTCAACTGGCTGCCTCTGGTGTGACGTCCACACATCAGCGAGTCCTATCTTTTGCAACACAAAACCAGACAATGGCACTCGATCCATCTCGGAGATTACCAGTGGTGGAGGAGTTGAGATGTTCAATGGAGCACGGAAAGATCAGGCGTTCGTATTGAGGATGGACAGCAGACGATCTTTAAAGACTCGTCCTGCTACTTCTACGTCTGCCATCCCGCTATAATTTCAGCACTCGATCTTGTCTCAAGTCCTCATCTAGATCTTGAGAGCGTCAACGAATTATTGGGCTGTTGTCTCTCTACTTCCCTCATCCCCACTTTCGACACCCCTCTAATTAATTGCCTTTGGGAGTCAGTCTATTCAGTCCTTCGTCAGTATCCGTTCGAAGACAGGTTTACTTTAAGCTCTCCAGAACTAATACTCTTCCCCTGAAGGTGACTGTACTGGGAACTTGCCAAGATGAGAGGCTTAAGACTCGGGGTCTGCCTTATCTCGGCCGCTGCCATCTCAAGCTGTACATCCAGCGCCATCGAGCCCAAGGAAGGGCTTTGGGCCAACTTCTGGCGAAGTATTGGCAGCATTGTTACTGGCGAGTCCAAATCGACAGATTCGCGCCATGGAACCATTGATCCTCGAGGACCCCTTGACGACGATCCGCAACCCTATGGAAACCTGCCTTCACCAGTTGCGACTGAGCCGTTGACAACAGCTAGCACTGGTAAGACAAACGATGCGTCCTGGATCATTATGAGTAAGGAAAACCCCACTGACACTGGGCAACAGATATCCTCGAGACTACTGCCACATTCACTGTTAGCACCAGTAGTTCCGCCGAAGCTGTTTGGGAGGGAGTGCAGACTGTTACGGTCACGGTCACGGCCACCACCACGGTCTCACTATCCGATCCGCTCCAGGTCAGTCCATTCTGGAGCGCTTCTCGGCCCGGACCATCCGCAAACTCGGGCGCCGGCGGCCAAGGTACCGAGCGTCCCTCATATCCAAATACAACATGGCCGCACGCGTCTGTGACCGGAAACCTCCCAGGATCCGGAACTCAAAACCCCAGTGGTGCCCCGTTTCCATTCATGAACGCTTCGAATCTCGTACCACTAGGGCAGGTAGCAACCGGAACACTCGGACCCGGCTTCTGTACGTTTACTTACCCTTGTTCTTGGGCCGGCGTATCTGCGAGTCCAGAGACGTCGAGTAGGGATTCAACCACCTCGACCGCGCCGAGCAGTAGTATCACCGAGTGGCTCGAGACAACCTCGACGACCACAAGCCGAGGTGTCTCTTGCACGCCAGGTATCGAGGCTACCTCCCCGATATCAAGCCCAGGCGTCTCTTGTACACCGGGCATTGAGGCAACGCAAGTCAGCCTCAGCTCGGCGTTCTACCCATACCCAAACTCGACCTCGGCCGGGATATTAAGCGGCCAATCGGGCACCTTGGGCTGGGGAGGCAGCGGAGTGGGTACCGGCACTGCGATAAGCACGGCGCTGGGGTCGTCGGACACGGTGGTGAGCGTCTCCGGGTATGGGGTGTCAGTGTCGGTGTCACAATCGGTACTGGCGACGTCGGACCCAATAACCTCCGAAGGACCGACGCCTCAACCATCCGTTTCCGCCTGCCAAACCGTTTCGGACCCAACAATCGCAAACGGCACTGCAACTGCAGCAGGGGTTTGCACAGGAGCGGTCGATTCAACGGCAAGCACCGCAGCGGCGGTGCAACCCCAGACCACCACGCCGTGCCATGACAAGAGCCAAACGGTCCAAACCGTCGGTGATGCGACGACGTTTCGGACATTGACCTCGTCCGCCTCTGAGGTGTCGAGTAGCAGTGCTGGTAAGGAAACTCCGGTTGTGACCGAGGTTTTGATGGAGGCTTTTGGCTGACTCGTAGAATTGAAAGGAGAAGTAGCAGAAGGGGCAGGGCCGTCGTCGGCCACCAATCCGATCGATTCCGGGGCAGGCCCGATCGATCGCCATCATCCCCATAGATTGGGCAGACTCGGTGCGGCGGCACTGGCACACTTGCCGGGCCTACATCACTTGGACTGAGTTGCAGCCATGAAAGATCCATTTGGTTTTGAGGCTCTAAGTTTGAGGTGCTGAAGTTTGGACTTTGGGGGTGTTGGCAAGATTTCATGTTCTAAAACCCCTAACCCTCAGCACTCGTTTTCTTTTCGACACCTAACCCTTTCCATTCGAAAACCGCGAGCCCGTACGGAATAGGGCTGTGACGTTATTGAAAACGGAGGGTATCGTTGCTCCGTAATGTACGCCAGGTTCCGTGGCCAGCCAGTCAACCATTCGAGCGTCTGCCACGATTCCAATGTATCACTAAAATTAACGTTACTGTGGTGTATACGCGTCTGCCAGGGACCATAATCTGAGATTTATATTTTCCTGCCGTGAGAGGTGTAAGTGGGAGGTGGAGCCGCAATGTACTTTGTAACAATGAGTGAGCACGTCATCCGAGCTAATATGCATTCGGTAACACAGATTTGCGGCTTACCTCACCTTCGCCGGATCGGTCTGGCATGCCATCGAAAGTCGATCTGGAGTTCTCGATCCAGTTGATTTCAGCATGCCGTCGATGTTTTCCATGTGCCCGTACAAAATGCCAGTGTCAGTACCGGTGGATGGAGGACGGGTTGAATGTGACTCGGAGGTTCTAAGTGTACTGTACAATACAATACGATACATACAATGGTCCGGACTCCGCCGAGTCCGAGACGGAAGTTGGAATGGGAACTTGCGACTTGGAACCCACGCTTTCCTGTCTTGAAATCCACATGTACAGGGCGACGCTTCCCTGCTCTCTTGACAAGATGAGTGTCCGTTACCGGGCAGGTGGCTTATCAATCCCTGGCAGAATGTCCCCAAATCCCCATCCGTCCGTTACCCATAAGAACTCGTAAGTCCCGGGGAGCCGCGGGGGACGGTAAGGCGGCAAATTCTCTGAATAAAAATAGTCAAATTGTACCTGATAGACCAATCCACCCTTTTTTCTTCTCAGCCGTTGGCTTCTTCTGTAAGTTTGTCCTTTTCCCTCTTCTTCCTCCGGAGGATCGCTCGTTCAGCAGCAGAACCAGGAGCAGTTAATATCCTCATTGTTAGGTTGTGTCTATCCCTCGGCTTCGCGAGTTTGCTGCGTCGATACCCAGTTGATTGCAGTTGCGGCAGCCAGGTACAAAAGGAGGAAAATCATACAAAATGGCCAACTCTCCCCACGGCGGTGTGCTCAAGGACCTGCTTGCGCGAGACCAGCCTCGCCATGAGGAGCTTGCGGCCGAAGCAGAGACTCTGCCGGCGCTCCTGCTCAGCGAGCGTCAGCTTTGTGACCTCGAGCTGCTACTCAATGGCGGTTTCTCCCCTCTTGAAGGTTCGTTTGCATTGCCTGTCTCTTTACACATATTGGTCGTTGTGGATGGTGGGGTTCGCATAACCCCGCCATCACTGCTACTGAACTCCTTTCCAGCAGCAGAACAGTAGCACCTAGAATACTGACAGCTTGGCCGCAATGCAGGTTTCATGAACGAGAAAGACTACAATGGGTATGTCCGAGTCAAAACCGCGGGCAAATTGGTTTTTGTTGGACTCTGCTAAGACAGCCTTCTTTGACAGGGTCGTCAAGGAGAACCGGCTCGCCAACGGCACCCTCTTCAGCATGCCCATCACCCTCGATGTGTCGCAGGAGACGGTCGACGAGCTCGAGCTGAAGGCTGGCGCAAGAATTACACTGCGCGACTTCCGTGACGACCGCAACCTGGCTATCCTCACCGTGGAGGACGTTTACAAGCCCGACAAGTAAGCCCACTGCCCTTGCCAAGAAGTCGCGTCATTGTTTGGCGCAATGAGCAACGCGGGGTGTTGACTTGGCCAACTCCAGGACCGTCGAAGCCAAGGAGGTCTTTGGCGGTGACGAGGAACATCCGGCCGTTCGATACCTCTTCCACACAGCAAAGGAATTCTACGTGGGTGGCAAGCTCGAGGCTGTCAACAAGCTGCAGCACTATGACTTCGTCGAATTGCGATGTAAGCCGCCTTCCACCCCACGGACTTTGCCATTCGACATGATACTAACGGCAGCCAAGACACGCCGGCCGAGCTGCGTGCCCATTTTGACAAGCTCGGTTGGTCCAAGGTTGTGGCCTTCCAGACGAGAAATCCAATGCACCGCGCCCACAGAGAGCTGACGGTCCGCGCTGCCCGGACACACCATGCCAACGTGCTCATCCACCCCGTGGTCGGCCTGACCAAGCCCGGCGATATTGACCACTTCACCCGTGTTCGCGTGTACAAGGCCCTGCTGCCAAGATACCCCAATGGCATGGCAGTGCTTGGCCTGCTGCCCCTTGCGATGCGGATGGGTGGCCCCCGCGAGGCCATCTGGCACGCCATTATTCGCAAGAATCACGGCGCTACACACTTCATCGTTGGCCGTGACCATGCGGGTCCTGGCAAGAACAGCAAAGGCGTCGACTTCTACGGCCCCTATGACGCCCAATATGCCGTCGAGAAGTACCGTGACGAGCTCGGCATCGAGGTGGTGCCTTTCCAGATGATGACGTATCTGCCCGACAGCGACGAGTACGCTCCTGTTGACCAGATTCCTAAGGGCGTCCGGACACTTAACATTTCGGGCACTGAGCTGCGTGCTCGGTTGCGGAGCGGGCGCGAGATCCCCGAGTGGTTCTCTTATCCCGAGGTCGTCAAGGTTCTGCGGGAATCGCACCCGCCGCGATCGCAGCAGGGCTTTACCGTCTTCCTGACGGGCTACCAGAACAGCGGCAAGGACCAGATTGCGCGGGCGCTCCAGGTCACGCTCAACCAGCAGGGCGGCCGCTCCGTGTCGATGCTGCTGGGCGAGACGGTCCGGCACGAGCTGTCATCGGAGTTGGGCTTCAGCCGCGAGGATCGGGACAAGAACATTGCGCGCATCGCCTTTGTCGCATCGGAACTGACGAGGTCGGGCGCCGCCGTCATCGCTGCGCCGATCGCCCCCTTTGAGCAGGCACGGCAGCACGCCCGGGAGCTGGTAGAAAAGTATGGCGACTTCTACCTCGTCCACGTGGCAACGCCGCTCGAGTACTGCGAGAAGACGGACAAGAGGGGGATTTATAAGAGGGCCCGGGCCGGAGAGATCAAGGGCTTCACTGGTGTCGATGACCCGTATGAGCCGCCCGCCAAGGCGGACCTCGTGGTAGACTGCGAAAAGCAATCGGTACGGTCCATTGTGCACCAGATCATCCTCCTTCTTGAGAGCCAGGGGTTGCTGGACAGGTTTTAGAGGGTATGTCTCTCCATGATGAGCGGCGGGAAGGGAAAGAGCAGTTCAGGGGACTGAGTCGGATGCGGCCATATCTTCAGATGCGACTGCGGCAATGCTTGGTACTGTACTGTACAGTATCAATATGTGCCACAAGGGTAGACTGATGGAATAGAACACTGATGAATCCACGGGCAATCTTGAAGGCTGCGAGAATCCGACCTGGATTTGCTCCTCGCTATGTACCTTCGTAGCGCTAACAGTCCTTCCCGAAGACCACTTGACTAGCGTCGGGTGATTGCAGGTTCCAAGGTTGTCGGGCTGCATTCCCCGGCGCCTAGCGACCAGCCACGGCATGGATGACTTTAGCTACAGCCCGTGGCGGTAGAGGTAGAATGGGAAGCACTGCGTACCAACATGATATGTATACTTATCCTTCCCTCCTCTCCCTGCTATTCCGTCTGGTGGGAGATTAATTATACTTTTTTAATTCGTCTCGTTATTCGTAATACCGAGTCAATCCGCTTTGCGCCGCTGACCAAGACGCTTGATTCTGTTGAGCAGCTGGGGACGGCCTGAAGCACCCGTGGATGGAACTGAGGGGGAGCAAATCACAGTTGCAATGAGTGGTTCGAGCGGTTAACACATCAGACAGTAAGGTTGACCTGCATGATGAGGTAGCGGCACTGTGCTGTCGCCGTGGCAGCCGTGTTTGTGGCCTTCCAGTTGTGCTGGCAGCCTTAACAGCACAGTTAGCGTACTGTACCAGAAGCTGCCGAATCACATTGGGCTGCAAATAGAGAGTCAACACCACCCAATGCCCTTGGAGAGTTGCGCCTCGTACGAGATCGATCGGTTTTAGGCACGAACCAGTCAATCCAAGCTTCATCTATCGATCATCTCGCCATTCCGCACAGCACAGCCGACTTAGCTTGCCCGCATCGGAACAATCGCAGTGCCTTGCAACAGCTGAAGGTGGCACAAAAAAAGCGGCCGGGGTCTTGGAACTCTTGTTTTCTGCCGGGTGTGGACGACCAGCACAGCCAACTTGGCCACCAACTCGACCAACTTGATCCAACGTCTTGCAACCTGCCCGCTTGCGCCGTAACATACGGCGTGGGTGTGTTGCATTTCGCCTCTTTTACCCCCCTTGGCGCCCACAGCCGCAGCCTCCCGTCTTTGGGGCGGGACATCCACCCTGACATGGTCCACCATGCCGTCCTCTAAAGACCGAGATGCCGACGTCGTCGACGAGCGCCCGCGCGAGAAGCGACACCGGTCTAAGAGCGAGCGCAAAGACCGAGACAAGGACGGAGATCGGGACAGAGAAAGAGAAAGAGAAAGAGAGAGAGACAGGGATCGGGATCGGGATCGGGATAAAGACAGAGACAGGGACCGGGACAGGGAAAAGGACAGGGACTCAGCCTTGTCGTCGTCTCTCCGCTATCACCGTCATAAGCCGTCCAAGCCGTCCAAACTGAGGCCTACCGACAGCGACACGCACTCTCGGAGCCACCGACGGCACAGGTCGAAGGAAATGGAGAAGGATGACGACCAGGAATACAAGTCGGCGGCTGCCACGTCCATGACCGAACTGGTACCGGAGCTATCGAGAGGTTTGGGCAGCGAGCGGGGGAGCGCCCCGTATCCGTCCTTCAGCAAAGCGCATAGCAAGGAGTTTCTCCACAGCAAGGAGGATATTGCAGCGACGGCTGCCCGGCGGACCGATCCGCTTACGCCGGATGCCACTGATTTGGGAAGCAGTGAGATGAGGCGGTCCAAGTCCGTCGATTCGCCTGCAGCAGCCCGGAACTCGCCCAAAGAGCCGCGACAGGACGACAGGCCGCCGTCTCCCCCAGACACTGATCTGTCAGCTCAGAAAGACAGACCTGCGAGAGAGAGGCCCGAGACGCCGGTGTCAGTAAAGGAAGCACAATCCCCAGTGCAGCGGTCTTCGTCTAGAGGCTCGTTTGTTTCCAGGTCCGCCTCTAAGCATGAACCTAGATCAAGGGTGTCCAAAGCATCAAGTCAAGCCACATTCGTTCAGAGGGAGGCGCATTCGCCAAAACCCGCGCAAGGCGATAGATCAAGAGCAGCAAATTCCGAGGTAACTGAGATAACCGACATGTCTACTCTGGAGCCCAGCTCGGCCGCAACAACGGCTATCCCCAAGCGGTCTGCATCCACAGCCAAGCCGCCATCCGTCGATGTGGCCGATTCATCCCCCGAGTCGGTCGTAGACTCGTCACCCAAGACACCAGTACATACACCCCAATTCCCGCCACCACCCATGGTGCCTGAAAAGCATCACTATGCTACATCGGACATACCTACCCCTTCAGCAACATCGGCCTTTATCCCAGGCGCCCCTGCGCCTCCACCGCCTCCGCCGCCCCCTCCTCCGCTCAATATCCAAGATGTACCGCGGGTAGACTACCTTATGCAGAATGGCGGGCTGCCGCACCCCGTTCCCAGGACGTTTCTCTCGGTTCTGCCCCGCCAAAACGGTACGAGGCCTTCTAATCCGCCGCTCCAGGGCGCCGAAACGCTGTTTGCCCCGTTTTTCAATCTTCTCAATCAATACCAGACGGTGCTCTCGGGTCATGGCTCCATCGCGGTGGCGACAGGCCATCGGACCGTTGCCCGCCGTCTCCTCGAGCGGCTCGAGAATGTGTTCTCCCGGGATCTCCCCGCCGAGGGTTGTTCGTGCATCATGTGTGAACACCTAGGCGAGCCACGCAGGGGTCTGGGGTGGGGGGAGGTGCTCGAGAGGGTCAGCGGAAGGATCGACCTGCCGGCTTGGCCTCCGTTTGACTTCTCCCTACTCAGCAGCAAGGCGGTCGAGGACCTGGCAGACGTCCCGCCACGGCCGTCCTCGCCCGTCAAAATGGATCCGGACATTGCCGAGGAGTTCAGGGAACACTACCTCCGCCAGAGCCAGCGTGTGCGAGCTGCGGTCGCCAAGTGGATGAGCAACTGCGAGAAGACCCCGGCGCCCCCGCCGCAGGATATCGACGACGAGACGCTGGCCTTTGCCATCCTGACCAACCTCGACCCGGAAGACCGGCCGTACTTCAACGCCCTGCTCTCGGGCTCGCGTGAGCTACAGTCGGCGATGCGCGCCCCGACCCCGGTCCGCAAGCACCGCAACGATTTCATCGTCAAGGCCGGCCTCTCACTGCAGCGGCTGTACCGCTTGCCGCAGGCGCCCCGCGACGCCGAAACGGCCGTGTACCTCGTCAAGAACGGCGGCTGGGTGCACGACCTGCTGTGCACCATCTCCGACATCAGCACCTCGGAATGGGAGATCCTCACGTCGGGCCGCTTCGACGGCTTCCTGTGGTCGGGTGCCGAGATCGACGACGGGGCGGACTTCCCGCCATCCGCGTCCCGCATGGCCACCCCGGCAAGCGGCATGTTCCCTTCCCCCTCCCGCATCATGAGCCCGCTTGGTGGAGTAGGGCCCAGGCCCATGTCCCGGACCACAACCCCCTTTGGCGCCGGCGGCCCCTATTCCCGCGGCCCGACGCCAGCCTCGTTCGTCAGCGGCGCATCCTCGTCGTACCCTTCGCGTGGTGCGACCTCAGCCGTGACGCACGACGAGGAGACGGAAATCGCCGTCGTCGCCGAGCTGGAGCGCGAAATCTTCAACGGCATGGAGGCGCTCGAGGACGCGTTTGAAAAACTCCACGAGCGCGCCATGGCCGTGCGCGAGGCGCTCCGTCGCCGCGGCGCCGCGCTGCAAATAAGCCTGCAGCAGCGCCGCGGCGGGTTCGGCGGGAGGGGGATTGATGTCCTCCCGCTTTCGGGCGGGAGTAGTGGGGTTTATGACCGTCCCGCCTGGGCGGTGGGTGGGGATGATGAGAGTGTTGGTGACGGGGCGGATAGTGAGTGGGGCGGGGACGATATCAGTGAGCTTGCGCCGGATGATTCGGCGAGTCAGGTCAGTAGTAATAGGCTGAGGAGGCCGAAGAGACGGAGGGAAAGGGCGACGCCGGCTATGATTGAGGAGGAGGATGAGCAGTGATTGTTTTGGTCTCTTTGGGAACGCAAATATGATATGATGGGATTTCTATTACATGTTTATGTTTATGAGTGTACATGGACATGTTATGCTCCGGGACTCGGGGTTTGTTAGTCATGATATGATCCCTTAGGCAGGCAGGCATGAGGCATTGGTAACTAGTTGGCTTCTGATGATGCTTAGTCTCTTGTCTTTTGGCTTGTGGGGTTTTCAAGTCGTTGTCTTGGTGATGGTGGAAAGGGTAGTCAGTTCTGTCATGGCAAGGCGTTTCCGCTGCGATACCTCTCTCTGTTTAGCTGTTTCCCTTCCACTGCTTGGCTGTTGTAAATCACTGGAGCTAGGTTACTACTGCTGGGGCGAATTTGAGAATGGTGTTTTTTCCCGAACAGGGTCGTTGTGTGTGGGAGATGGGCAAGCTGGCGGCGGACTGTATGGACGGAGGGGCCGCGGGCTGGTTACCGTTACCTTCTTCCTCGTCGGCGATGCTATGTTCTCGGGTTTGTTAGGTGCTGTTTGAGGATGGCTGAAGATTGCTTTTATACATACGAGTAAAAGTACCGTATGTGCTCTGCATCTTCGAGCGGTCTGGTGTGTTTAGCAGTAGCGGTTCTAATCACAACTACGCAAACGACAATCGGAACCGCCATGGGGATGCCTTCAAGGGGGTATGTATCAGCTCCCTAGGTTCAGCACCTATGTAAGAGACGGCAAAGGCACAATCAGGTTCAGATATTCTCTGTACTAATAGTATACTCCGTCAATGTTGTGAGTACTTGGACGATGGCCTCGAATAGGGGGCAGTCTTGGGTGTTTGTTTATCCCAAGTCTAGAAAAGGCTAGTATCCCTGTTAACTTGGAATACTGTGGAGACGGATACCAGATAAACGTTCGAGTTTTCAAGCAGACTTTGGCCAAAGTATGCAAGTTCCTCGCCAGTGGAAACTCATCTCCCAGCTTGTCAACAAGACGGGCTACACGAAGAGAGTAAGTAATACAACACTCAAAAGGCTTCAAACGCTTCAAACCGGGCAAAACGTATATACGGGACGGAGTCCAACAGATGCACCTGCAGTTCCAGACCCCTGAGAAAGAAGCCAAAATAGTCCTGGGGGCTTGACTCCTTGAATATGAAACTGGCCGGTGGTAGTCTCTATTCATGTGCACCGAAGTACAGTGCTAACTGTATGTACAAAGAAAACCCGCCGTTGCCTCACACAGGAAACGGGAACAACGTGGTCCCCCAAACCGGAGTGGACTCGGCCGGCATTATCTCAGCATGCGTCATTCAGCATTTCACCCCGCCTCAACTCCCGAACCCCTCTCTCACCTCCAAACAGCTGCCCCTGCCGAACGACGACCCCACCCACCTGTGCGGGACGGCCGCCCGGGATCTTGTACAGTACCCTTCACACATCACTTGTCAGTCATCAGTCATATCCGGGGAATTGGCTTCAGCCTTTTAGTCTGGAAGCTAAACTAGATGGATAATAGCTTAATAAGTTAGGTAGCATAGTTTGGGGTAATGGATAAGCTTGGGGTGGGTTTTGGAGTCGGGTGCTATTTTCCTGTCAAATATATGTCCCAACTCCTGAACTTTGCCAACAGTCACCGTCAGCTTTCTATCCTATCATCTGAGCAATTGGCTGATTTCCGGAGGTATTTCGAGCCGCCGGATGTGCTATCTGCTGTATCCATTACACAGAGGACCGAACGATCTAGCATCTATTAATATCTGGCTGCTACTTCATAAACGCTAGACAGACCCCATTCCCCTCTTCGATTTGAATTTGGATCATACCCGCTCTCTCTGTCAGTCCCACGCCGGTATTCTACCTACTCTAGCATTTGCTTAATCCCAAACCTGTTTCCCGTATCGACGATTGTGTCAACAGACGCGAGACACCCCTTGATAGTCCAACAGCAGAGACAGCAGCCATGGCGCAAAAACCAGACGCAAAGGTGCCGGAGCTGCTGGACCTGACCATCGACAACATCACGCCCAACACGATCCGCATCAACTCGCAGAGCTCCGACGCGCGGCTGACGTACCTCATGGCGCGGCTCGTCACACACCTGCATGACTTTGCTCGCGAGACGCGGCTGAGCACCGACGAGTGGATGGCTGCCATCAACTTTTTGATCGGCTGCGGCAAGATATGCAGCGATGTCCGGAATGTGAGCGGGCCCCTTATGATGATGCCATGACCCCTTGCCAGAGAGGAGCACGGCTGATGGTTAGGTCCCTAGGAATTCATCCTCCTCTCCGACGTTCTCGGCCTATCGCTGCTGGTGGACAACATCAACCACCCCAAACCGCCGCTGGGGACCGAGGGCTCCGTGCTGGGGCCCTTCCACACGCACGACGCGCCCGTGCTACCCAACGGGGCGAGCATGACGTCGGACCCGGCGGGGGAGCCCATGCTGGCCGTGTGCACGGTGCGCGACACGCAGGGAAGGCCCATCCCGGGGGTCAAGGTCGACATTTGGGAGACGGACAGCTCGGGCCACTACGATGTGCAGCACGCCGACCGCGACGCGCCCAGCGAGCGTTGCGTCATGGTCACCGACGACCAGGGCCGCTTCTGGTTTAGGGGCCTCAAGCCCGTCAGCTACCCCATCCCCCACGACGGGCCCGTCGGCAAGCTGCTCCAGCTTTTGAACCGTCACTGCTGGCGCCCGGCACATGTGCATTTCATGTTTGGCAAGGACGGGTGGGACCGGTTGATCACGTTCGTTTCTTCCCCCCTTTTATTTTTCCGTTGGGATATCATGGCGAGCATCGCAGGCTGATATGCTTGACCTCACAGGGCGCTGTATCTCCGGGGTGATCCGTATGAAAAGTCTGACGCCGTGTTTGGCGTCAAGAAGAGCCTTGTGATTGACCTCGACAAGGTGGACAAGGAGACGGCCAAGGAATATGGCGTCGAGGAGGGCATCTGGCTGCTGAAGCACGACTTTGTGCTCACGACGCAGGAGGAGACCGAGAAGCTGAGGGACCAGTTGGCTATCGAGGCTTTGGAAAAACTAGGCCTCAAGTTGAAGTTGGTGGATCATCTTCCAGTGCCTGATCTAGATTAAACAAATGTCAAATCATAAGCCGTCTGCTGCGGTTTCCAAATGTCAGAGCCACTTACCAGGTCCCAATATGCTATTCCTTCTGGTGCAATGTGGTGGGCCTCGATCTCTACTGCCTCCAACCGCGGCCAATAAGGCTCCTGATTCGAGCTGCCAGGGTGATCTGTGTCAGGCTAAAACAAGATCGGGCTGGTAGGAAAGTACATCCTCGACACCGAAAGCCCCTAGTTTGAAGCGGAAGGCCTGGTTGCCCAATCTGTGTTGCCCAGATGACACTCGTGGTGGATGGTATCTGACTTTGGGGGTGTGGCGGCAGTCAGCGTGGGTTGGTGACGCCACAGTTGGTCCAGATGCGTACCACGCTTCCGATCGTCGAGGAAGGCATCCGTGCCCTGCTAATCCTGCTCCAGGGAAGGCTTCATCGTAGGAGGACAGATTTCAACTGATGAGATAATGTGTGTAACACGGTGTTGAGATTGTTCGCTTCAATGAGTACCGCTTGTGCCTTGTTGGGTTCTTCTTCACGACTTGCGTCGCGTATGCCCTCCTTCCAGAGGGAGGAAATGTTGAGAACTTACCCGTCTAATCACCGTGATGGCCCGTTCCTTGCGTGGAGGTGGCTAGCTTGACCACGGTCTCCAAGTACCCGGCAGTGCCTCCATACTTGGCAACGATGGCTTGGAAGTCAGGAGAGGAAAGTTGCGTCGTCCTCTTGCGTCCGACCAAGGCCGCATTGCGCGTGCTGGGAATCCGCAACATCTCTTGCTCAACCTCCCAGCCACAATCTCTTGCAATGTCCGACAGCCATACCACCAGCGACGAGTATGCGGTATCAGCCTTAGTCTTGTCCTTGGGCACTGGTGCTCGGAACTTCTCTCCGGAGAGATTGTGGCTGCAACACGGAATCGCAATGAAAGGGCACTCGGACATGGCGGCAAGAATAGGAGTCCAAGGGGTGAGCTCGTCAGCATGGTTGGAAATGATGAATGTACCTTTGGGGAAGCAGCCGTCGTGGATCAGCTTCTCATTGAAAGTATCACTCGAGACGTCTGCTAGACCTTCTCTGCTGACTGGCGGCGGAAGGAGGACAAGCTGGCGCAGCGAATCTTGGATACCGTCAGAGGTCTGCAACTGCGTGTTGTAGTTGGCCCATGATTTGCGCGAGCGCGCATCGAAGCCCCATCCGGCGAAGCCTTCTCGGTTGAGAATATGAACCAGGAGCCCGTTGCCACATCCAATGTCCACAAAGCCGGGAAAGGGTTCCTGGCTGTACATGTCGGCCCACAGCTCGATCAGAAAGGCTGCAATGCAGAGATCCTCAAAGACATGTTTGACCGGGTCGGTCACCTCGGCCCAGCTCTTTATGAGATCCCGAGCATACTTCTGCTTGAGCCCCGTGTACGTGTCCTGCACCCGCGCTTGGGGCACCAGCTGGTCATGGTGAACTCTCTTCTGATAGCCCTCGACCCGGCCTTTGCCGTGCTTGTGGATGACTTCCAGCAAACGCAGGGCAGTTCTCGTCAGCTTGACCGAGGAGCGGTCAGCCTCGTCAAAGAACAAGTACGAGATGGAGATGGACCCGCGCAACTCCGCGGCAATCCATTCGTGCAAAAAGGCTATCCCCCTAACTACGGGGTGATAGAAGGGCATCTCGGAAGCGGAAGAGACGTGAGGGAGGTAGACGACAAGCGTCTGTTGAACGGGAGCCCCAAGACTCTCATGGCTGTAAGAGGGACTTTGATAGAACACACAGGTCTGATCAAGAGGTTGGTCCCTCAGTGTGTTCCTGGGAATGAGCTTGCGGACCATGCATCGCCGGAGCTCAAAGCCGACAAATGAAGGGATGTCCGGGGTGCATTCGGCTCCGGATGGCTCAGCGGAGGGCAGGGCCTCGGGTGCGTCATAGAGGATATTGGCGCGGAAGAGCCATGACGAGTTGATGTTGGGGTTCTGAATGAGGTTGATCATGACACTGTTAAAGACGGAAGGGCCGAAGGCGCATGGGTGGCGAAACAGCGGCCGCCAGGTCGCCGTGTCACCGCCGGTCCTGGCCTCTTGGACGACGACCGGGCTTGCATCGACCGGCAACTCATCGGGTTCGAATCCCATACGTTTTGCCGAATTTAGAACTGAGAAACCTCTTGACAGGGCTGGGCGAGGCGAAATCGCCAAGTACTGTACGATTTTTTGGAAGGAAAGAATGGTTGAGCTTCGACCCACCCTCGAAACAGTCATTGCAAGCTTCGTTGGTTACAGGACATCTGGGCCTCTAATGTTACCCTCCCTTGAGCCTTCTTGGGCTGAGTGAAGGGAAGAAAGAGATCGGCCATGAGAGAGGCCTGGACAGGCCGACACAAGGTACGTACCTAGGTAATTGAGGCCTTTCAATGAGAAGGGTTGCTCCAAATTGCCGCGTTGGAAGCGTATCTTCGTAGGGTACTGAGTACCTTAGTGTATTCCAGAAATGGGTTAACGTTGATTCACAATTCAAGCAGCCAAACACCACCAACAAAACTTGGACATTGACTGAGAGATCATGTGCCCAGCGTGGCAGGTGACAATGATGTTCATGACGGATCAGGTACCAGCAAAGTACTAGGTAGACAAGACGGGAGGGGCGAATCTGACGGCCAGACCCGGCCAGCGACGCGCCTGGTTACCGCCACCCGAGCGACCCATTCGAGTGGCCAGTGCTGCAGTCGGCTTGATGCCTTGTGGCCTTGCAGCGGTCAGCGCCCCCACATTATCTTCTCTCTTCCCCTCACCTGTTTCCTTTCCATCGCCTTCCCTCTTCCACCCATCTTGCCATCATCAACATTCTCGACCGCATCGCTTTTCTGGCAATCAAGGTACATAAACCTCGCGTCTTCCCACCTACAGAATCTTTTCCCACCCGCCAAAGACACCGATCTACACCGCCCATTAGCGAGACACTACCACAGTCGTCGGTCGCTATTCTCACATCCCCTCTACACAACAACCTTCTCCCAGGGTACCCAGAAAACTCCGAGTTTATGTCAGGCGCAATCGAGATCCAGAATCTCAAGAGCCGCGGTACGTCAACACCATCGTCATTGTCGCCGAAGGATTGGGATGCCGCCAATCGGTTCAATCGCCTGCCATACTGCATTGAACCGAGCGACATTCCCAACCGAGCACTTATCAGCATTATACCTTGACGTGCAATTACTGACTAGAATCGCCACATAGACCCCTTCGCCGAAGCCGACGAGGACTCGGGACAGACTACTCAAACCCAGGAGTATATCCATATTCGCATTCAGCGTATGTCTGCCTACCCCGACTGACTCACCCTGTGTCACGTGGTGGTCGTGTTGTGTTGATTCGCATCACACCGCATCACACCGCATCGCGCCGTTGCCGCATCGCCGCATTTCTCAGATCTGATGACTAACAATCTTCCCTGCAGAGCGTAATGGACGCAAGACCTTGACCACGGTGCAAGGTATTCCAAGCAAGTTTGATCACAAGAAGATCCTTAAGGTCATCAAGAAGGAGTTCGGTACGTCTTGGATTATGCTAGCCGCAGGCTTGAGAGTGGCGTGGCACTAACTGGCGGCACAGCTTGCAATGGCACCATCATTAGTGACACCGAGTCCAAGGGTCTTGGCGAGGTGATCCAGCTGCAGGGCGACCATCGCATCAAGATCAAGGACTTCCTCGTCGACCCCGAGAATGGTCTCGGCCTCGATGAAAAGACCATCAAGGTACGTCATATTCGAGCCACGAGCTGCTTTCCCATGATCATGTGCTAATCTTCCTCCAACAGATTCACGGCTTCTAAGTCGAGCATGTCTGGCACGCCGCCGTTCTGCTCGGACTCCTAAGAGGAGCGCCCTTCCGGGGCGGGGCTTCACAGGAGTGAAACTATTAAGTTCGAGCGATGAGAAGGGCCCCCAATGATGGGGCTCTGCGGCATGCACACATGATACCCGACGAGTTGGTGACTTGCTTCCTCTTTCCCTAGCAATGAGTGCTCTGAGAGGGATGGTGGTTTTATTTTTTGCTCTTCGGACCGTTTGCTTGGTCGCTCCCTGGGCGCTAGTGGATAGGACGGCAATGACCTGCATGTCCTTCGTTTTAGCGAGTTCGCAGGTCCGGTAGACTTAGGCAATTGAGACCTCTTAGCAAATTCCTCTATGATCGTCTGGCCAGCGCCGCTCTGACTCTCAAGGTATTGCCGTGGCAGACAAATATTGTCTACAGCATACACCCGCAAAACTCCTGTACGCTGCTAACCACCTTACATGTGTGTATCTGATCAGATGTGCAGATCTCGAGCAAAAGGAGAACCCCAGAACTCTGAAGCACAACAAACGCCGCCGAACGCCCTTCCCCGCCGTTGATACCATACACACATTTACATCCATACATTTAGTCCATTAACAGCCATCCCCTAGAGATCCCGGGCGGCATTGCCGTACTCCATGATGCGGATGGCCAGCTTGCCGGCCTCGTAGCACACGCGCCGGACAAGGGTCAGCAGCGGTATGTCTGGGTAGTCTGTCCGGTTCGAGTGCAGCTGGCCCAGCAGCGCCACCATGCTCACAAAGCTGGCGATGGAAAACACGCTGATGGACATGGACGTCTCCTTGCGTATGTTGATCTTGCGCTGTGTGATGTGGTAGATTACCGTTAGTGTCTGTCAACGGGTTAGTCTGTGTTTATTATGTTATACTGGGAGGACAGGGGTTGGCGAGGAGGTGGGAACGGGCGAGATTGAGATGTGAAGGGGATTGTTTACGGTTGAGATGAGGATCCAGGCCGGGAGCACCAGTCGCGGATCTTGAAACCCTCCGGCGAGGTGCAGCACCCATGAGGTGAGGTAGCCGTTTATGGCGTTGATGGTTAGCAGCCGGACGAGGGTTGCTTGCGGCGTGTAGTTCAGGAGCCTGTGAATGTGTTAAGACCAGAAAGGTTCTCCTTAAGAGAGAGAGCGAGGGGGCAGCAGACCAGCGTGACATGAGACAGTCAGTGAAGAAGAATGAGAGGTACCCTGCCGCGCAGCACTACGGTGGTGAACGATATCGGTCAGTGATTTTTCTGTACTCCTGTGTGCGCCCCCTTTACTTACCCAGATGGTGGCCAGCAGCGTCTCGGTGAGACGGAGTCTGGCCTCAAAGGTCGCGTCGTAGCCAGATGATGCTGGCGGCGACGACGGCGGTGATGGTGATGATGATGTTGACGATGATGATGATGGAACCGTCGTCCCATGACTACTCCCATCGTCGCTTCGCCCGAGTCTCACTCTGCCTAGGGCGCCGTCAAGTCCACCGCCGCCGAGAAAGGTCAGGTGCAACATGGCCAGCAGACGGAGGGCATTGGGCAGGCCAAACACCACGCCCGGGGCGATGGAGACCAGCCGGCAGGCAAAGAGCAGCGGGTACCATGTCTTGGAGACGCCCAGGACAACGGCGACGCGGGGTTGGAGGAGAGATGATCGCACCGTTCCGGCGCCGGCGCCGGCGCCGGCGTGATCGGCGGCGGTGGTGGTGGTGGTGACTACTTTGACATTCTCACTGCTGCTGATGCCGGTGCCGGTGCCGCCCACCCCGGTGCCGGGATTGGGGGCCGAGGAGGGGCGGTGACTAACAGCAGTGGTAGTACCGGTAGCAGCATAGTCGAGGCTGGATGCGGAGGTTGAGGCTGGGGCTGCTGGGGTCGCAGCCGTAGTAGCGGGGTCCCGGCTATGGTAAGGGGATCCGTTATCCGCCCGCGGATGCTGCGCGGCTGGCTTCGCGAGGCGGTACATTCAAGAGGCCTTTCCTGTCCCCATGGAGCATCCAATTCAGGTTTGACTCCCTAGAAAAAGAAGTTGGAATTTTGTCAGGAGTTAACTTTTGGGAGTCGACTCTGGGCCGGATGGAATAAGCGACGCAATGATAACCTGGAACGGCACAAAGTTGAGATAAAGCCCTGGGTGTCCTTCTGAGGTCTGAGGTCATCCATGTTGCAGGGCTACCTATCGATTCCAGGCCCTTTGAGGTCCTGCGGGGCAGGTGGTTCTCGGGCTCTTTAGCTAGCGAACGATTGAAGTTTGGGGGCAGCGATGGGACACATCATTGGCTAGAATGCTTCAGGGCCCCGTGTTTTATTTTCTCGACGGATTGGAAATCTTGAGCTCCCAACACCATCAAGCACGGCATACGATCAACGACGCCATTTTTTGACGCCGACGCCGACGGCGCAAGATAGAGATCGAGAGCCTTTGGTTCATTGTGACCAGCTTCCGGCGCAAATTGTCTCTCCGAAGCGGGCATCGTACAGGGGAGACGTTCAGTTCAATACTCGGGGGATCCATCATGTCGTCGGCGAAGCTAGGTCTGAGGGCCCGGGGAGTGCTCTCCATGCGGGTGACAGGTCCTGCGAGGATAACAGCGGCTTCCTTTACCACGTCTCAGTGCAGGACAGGGGCAGGTGCGTACCGAGCTCACTTGGAAAGCTTCGGTGGGCGAATATCGGAACAGCCGTCGCCCTCGGCGCAACAAATGGGGCCCCGGAGAGATATGAAGGACGTGGCCAACTTAGCCTTATCGGTGCTCCTTCCTGGTACGTGTGTTCCCGGCGGCAGTTCTCCATGAGGCCGCAAGCAAGGAAGCGGACAGAAACCGGTGCTGACTTGCCCGTCTCGCACGAGCACACCAGCGACCTTTGTGCTTCCCCCGTTCTCCGAATTCCCCCCAGGCTTGAAGCAAAAGCTCAAGATGCTCTACACCTGGGCTATCTACAAGATACAAGAGACAGCCACCAACCTCGCGATAAAGATCGCCTCCAAACCCTCCATTTTCAGGAGAGCCCTCCTCAAGACCAACAGGTCATCCGACATCCTCACCGCGAAAGCTCTCCACCGTACCCTGGCCGAGGCGCTCGCCGCCGGCGACAAGAACACCATCGCCAGGATCTGCCCAAGGAAGTTCTCCGCGCCTCTGCTCACGAGTATTGACGCCCGCCCTCGGACGCGCCGCTACGGCTGGGAACTGGTCACCTACACAAAGACGGCGTATTACCCGACTATCAAGGCCCAGAGGCTGGCCCCGCTCTTGCCCACCAAGGGCTCTCCGATTCTCAGGCAGGTGGTGGTTGCCATTTCGAGCCGGCAGCGCCGTGTTGTCTACGACGCCCAAGGCCAGGTGGTGCCGGGGAGCGAAAAGGAGATGGACGTCATCGAGAACGTGGCCATTGGGTGCATCATAGATGGGCATACGTATAAGCAGGGTGATTGGCGCATTCTCGGCAGCGTCAAGCCCTCGACGCTCGAGGGTCACCAGCGCGAGAAAAGGTTTGCGGAGCGGTCGAATGCGCGTCAACAGTAGTAAAGGAGGCTGGCATAGCTGGTGTGATCCATGTACAACACTCTGTAAAACAGTTTGATACACTAGATGCTGCGTTGGCGGCAGGGCAGCCGTGGCTTGGAGTTGATGAACAAGGCCTCCTTGTCGACCCGGTGCCTTGGATTTGTAATCTCACACTCGATGTATGACACCTCAAGTCTGGTGAATCAAACGCCTCTATGTCCGTGCCAAACTCGATTCAACAATGAAATCAGCTTAGTGGCCTTCGGAGCCATCATCTCTTTACCCTTTAGAGGCACCGTAACACCAACCACTTCCGCGCTTGGCCTGGCTCAGGAGTTCAATCTACTCTCAATACCATGTATCCCGGTCGTTCTCCACCTCCTCTAGATCATCATCCTCATACTCTTTATGTACAGCCCCCTATAACCTACGCATATTGCTGTCGATGGACTCCTAGGCGCGTTTTTATGGGTGCGAGGGCGAGTAAATTCAAAAAGCAAAGCCCTTAGCTCACTTTGAAGGGAGCAAGATATCACGGCAACAGTCTCTTGACGGGGAGAACACTGATGGAAAGAAGCTCGCTGGAGTGATTCAAAAGCAGGGTGAACTGCTGGTATTGAATTCTCTGCCTGTGATATCCAAGGCAACAACCCTTCCTGGTACGTTCAACTAGCGATTTGAGCTCGTACGGGGCTAACGAAGAACCCCAACGATGGCTAAGTTGAGTGAGATACGAGCTGCGCTGGGCTGACGCCTTCTGCTCAAGACCGGCCGTAGTTAACAGGCATCGTGGCGTCCACACCAGAAGAAAACTCTCGACGTCCCCAACCTCAACCCTAGATCCACGGCACGTCTAGAAGAACCTCCCAGTGGTCTTGGCAATGCCGGGCGCATCAGACGACGCCTCCGTCTCATCGCCGACGCCCCCATCGCCGCCCACATCCTGGCCGCTGTACGACGACGCATCGAGATAAGCCGGGCGATCAAGCGCATCAAACCTCCGCCCTTTAGCCCTGGCCATGACGTACTGAATCGCCAGCCGCAGCACCAGCGCGCCAAAGCCCCAGATCAGCCCGCCCAGGGGAGCGGCCACAAACGCGCCAAAGGCACCCCAATCACCCGTAAACAGCCCCTGCTGCAAGAGCATCAGCTCCGCTCCGAGCCGCGCGTCGCCGTAGTAGGCGGTGCCGAACAGGAACACGGTGAACAGCCCGCCGAGGCCGCCAACCACAACCTCGAACCCGCGCCACCAGTAGCAAGCATCCGACAGGCCGAGGACGAGCACAGGAATGGTGGCGGCCGAGACGAGGTCCGAGATGAGGTAGATTTGCAAGATGGAGGGGGCGCGGATGGCGATGACGACGACGGGGATCATGATGAGCACGACCCCTCCGCGGATCCACCAGATGTTGAGCCGGTTGCGGAACAGGTCGTTGGACGCGGAGGTCACCATGGCCGACTGCAGCGAGTCGAACGAGGCCGTGCTCAGGGTGACTGACATGACCACCACGATGCCCACCACCCAGCTCGGCAGCTGGCCTAGCAGCGCGAAGAAGGCGACGGATCCGTCGACGGGCGCGTCAGGCGGGCCGGGCCAGACCCCGGACCAGGCGGCGATTAGGCCGGTTGAGCCTACCAGGGTGAGGATGGCTAGGATGGCGACGGTGGCGGAGGATACGCCGATCCAGAGGTCGCGGTCGGTTTTGGAGGCGAAGGTGCGTAGCCAGTAGTGAGACTTTGAGGTGGTAACGTTAGACAATGATTGACGTAGTGGGATAGGGGAAAGGGGTGGATTTGGAGATGGAAGAGCATACCAGGAAAAAGCCGTTTGTTAGGATAGCCACGGGGAGAATGTAAATGAGCTGCCACCCCAGGAGGTTGGCCTGGGTAAGCCCGGAAGAGTCAATAAGGCTCCGGTCAATCTCAGTCTCGGCGCCGATGGTAATAGTTGCGATTATGACCAGCCCAATCACCATTACTCCCTGGATGTTGTCCGTGAAGAAGGAGATCTTGAAACCTCCCATAGCTTGACTCGACCTGTCAGCATCACTCGCGCAAAGAACGTACCGGCAGATCTTACATGTGTAGATGGTTGTGACGATGCATTCCACGATCAAGACGGGTAGCCCATCAAGGCCCGTCAGGAGATTAATGACCTGACCAACGGCGGACAGCTCCGAGACCATGTACAGGAAGAGCGTCACGAGAGTCATGAAGCTAAGATACAAGGCTGCAATCCTGCCGTACCGCTGTCTGGTCCACTCGGTGAGGACGAACCCCTGAGGGCACTTACGCCTGATGATTGGGCCAAGTACAGCGAAGATCAGCAGGGGCAGAGCGGAGGACAGGGCGTATACAACCACGCCCTGGACTCCAGCAAGTGTGGCGAGCTGAGGGTAAGCGAAGAGGATCGAGGATCCAAGGGCTGAGGAGGTTAGTGCGTCAATAGGCGTTTGATTGGGAAAGGGTGAAAGGGGGAAGGGGTAGATCGGAGCGGCAGCACGTTTCCCACGCAAGCATTAACTTGATCGAGTAATCACGGTACAATCTCAGCTTCGTTTCCACAAGTTTGCTGGTTCTCCCCCGCTCGACACTCGGTGAACCGAGAGAGATGGGGGTTGGAGCCAAACGCAAGACTTGCTTCAACTCGGCGCCCGTAGTGAGCCGCAATCCTCACCCCTCGAACCCGCTGTCTGCAGTGTCCCCCTCATCTCACTGACGAGGATTTCGGAGACGCTGGAGGTGCGGGAGCAAGGGATGAAGATCTGGTGAGGTTGGGGTACGAACCTGTGATCTGCCTCTGGCCCTGCCTTTGAGAAATCAGGGCGGCCGTTCAATATCACTCATCGAGTCTGGCGAGAGAAGCTCCATTGAGCTGTCGCCCGGTTCTGTCTCGTGCCGAAAATGCTCTCGGGTTGTGGTGTTGCTACCGCTCTGATCTTGGACTGCCACATGGGGCCTCGGCTGCATTCATCACTCACCGGATGCGATGAAGTTCAAGGCGAGCGGCAGAGCTGTGCGGAGAACAAGATTAGCAGTTCTTCTTTCCGGGTTAACCGAGATAGACGGCGTATCGTCCATCGCTTGACAACACAACAAGCTGCTCTCACAGCTGTCGAGAGAAGGCATCCTAACCCGTCTGAGTCCTGTTGCCTGCCAGGAACTCTCCTTTGCTCTGGTTCCTGAACTTCCAGGCAACGCTTGTCCCAACCGCCCTGTGAATCTGTGTTAGCATGGAGAGATCTTCGGATGGCTGCCAAGAGCAAAGCTTGTTCTCACAGAAAAACTCCATATGTTACGTAGACGAGGGCGTTCGACGCCTGGAACGACGGCTGGCCCATGTCGACGGATGTTCTCTTCTCAGCGGGAGCAAAGGATGAATTCGAGTTGGCGGATATGGCAGGAGCCGCGAGGAGAAAATGATGCTCTGGAGTAGAAAAAAGATTTGTGTCTGGGAAATGAGCCCTTTTTGAAGCCGCCCTAGCAACTGGATCCCTCGCCGGTTTCTGGAGGCTAAACCATGACGAGGGACCTCCCGTCGTGAAAGACCCTGCACCAAAGTAACCTTAGTCAAAAAGCAGCAGGTCATTAGCGTGGGGTGAGCGCCCTGGTGATGCTCGGCGGTTCGCATGGAAGCACCCAAATCCCGAAAACAACAGCGGATACAGGCCGCAAACCTAAGCCCGTTAGCTGACCATTTAGTGGTGCCAAGCATGCAGCCACAGGCTCCATCCCCCACTCGCACACCATCAATACAACCTTCCAAACCCACCTCATCACTGCTCACTTTCATCGGACCACACCTTGATGATTGATAATTCCGTTTGATACTTGGTGCCTCGCGACAGACGTGAGATGGCAACGTCAGGAAGCTATGCCTTGATCAAGGTAAGATACATGCGTATCCCATAACCCCTCCGAGCTCAACTCCAAATTATTAACGAGGACTTAGCTTCCGAGACCTGGAGACAGAATGAACCACTTCCTTCGCTTCCTTTGATCCACAGAGAGAGAGAGTCCACATGGCGTCTGGGTTCGGCGGAGACGCGAGCGTCCCTGCAAACTCCAATGCCAGCGACAAACCTAATGCCAGCGACAAACCTCTCGACAAAAGGATAGGAAGGAGAACAGGAGAAAAGAGAAAGAGAAAAGCAGAAACCCGAGTTTGAACCGTACACCAGATGATTTTCCCTACACATCCGACCGCCCCTCCCAATCCGGGTATCCATGCATGCATCATGATCATCGCCCAAGACGAGAAACCCGCCCCCAAACCGAGACCTTGACCGTTTTTGGAACTCCGAAACCATGGAGACGACGAGCCGAATGAAAAAAAAACAACAACATGCTTTTGAGTCGCTTCATGTCGAAGCGGGGGTGATGGGGGATTGGGTGACAGCTGTGTGTCGTCGTCGCTCAACGGAGTCTCAAGGCCGAAGCCAGCCGAAACATAGAGCGCAGACCGACAAAGCTGTAATGATGAGTGTGAAGTGTGAGGTCGACGAAGCAGTCAAACGCCCGCAGGATTTTCGATGAAATCCCTCCGCCAGCTGCTGATGAGAATGGAATCTTTTGTTGCGGCATTCCTCAATCGAGACGAGGCGCAGGCAACGCAAACGTCAGAGTGGCGGGATTAGTGCGGTGTGGTTTGACCGACCGACCGAAGGGGGAAAGAAAGAATTGGTGAAGTGAGAAATGCCGAAACGAAACCGAGTAGCCGATGATGCGGTACTGATACAACTCTGACAGGTGATGGATAATGATATCGATGAAGTCGATGGCGGATGATTTGGGCTTGACGACCATGGGAGGAATGCTGCTGGTCCTGATCCGATGATAATGGTGACTTTGACCGATGAGAAAGATGACCCCGATGAAGAAGGGAGTGTCGGGGAAGACGTTTGGTTGTGGCGCGACATTGACTTAAGCATCATGGAAGGTATGCTGCTGGTCGTCGGCGCGATTGTCGCGGTCGCGGGTGGGGGTCGTGAGCGGAACTCCCGACGAGGGCTCAACCTGGTGGTACGAGTAACACGTCAGGCCGGTGATGGGGTCCTGGAACGTCATCATTCCAGGCCAGGGACCAAGGTACGACAAGTCGCTGATGTGAGCGGGAGCCTGCACGTTGCGCGGGGGGGAGTAACGTGCGGGGCTGGCGGCGTACGAAGTGAACCGCTGCTCGGTGTTGGCGGCAGACGGGCGAGGCGCGACCGGGCTGACACTGGGCATGGGCGGCCACGGGCGTGCGAGGAGTTCGGGATCAGCGGGGATACCACTGACACCGACCGGCCAATTGTTGGGGTTTGGCAGTGGGCGCTGGAGCGGCCACAAATTCAACAGTGTGTTCGGAGACGCGGGATCGGGCACCCCGGGGATGCCATGCTGGACAAGGCGTCGCGGCGACTCTGGAACCGGCGCAACAGAAGGGGTGGACAAGACCGCGTCGCCGAAGCGGGTTGCGGCACGTGGAGGACGGGCGGGCGTCGAAGCTTGACGGTAGCCGCTGCTGCCAGCGGCACCACCAGCACCACCAAAACGGTTGCCACCGCTGCCAGAAGCACCGCCGGCACCACCAAAACGGTTGCCACTGCTACCAGCGGCACCACCAGCACCACCATAAACCTTGGGCGTCTTCGGCGTGACGGACGATCTCATGGCGAAAGCCTGAGATCGCGAACGGCGGGGCTCCCCAGCGCTACGCTTGAAGACCTTGCGCTCGACTTTGAGGAAGTATTGGCCCATTCTTGTTCCGTTCTGGAAAAAAGCATGTCAGAATCGAATTCAATTGACCAGTGGCGGGTGTTTGGCGGAGAAGACTTACGACCATGCGGATCGCGGTGTCGGGCACGTCGGCCCTGGTGAACTCGACGAACGCGAATGGGCGGCAAGGCGTTCCTGGAACTTGGGAGTTAGCGACTGAGGGAGCGAGAGCCTTGAACACTGGATGTACTCACCGTCGTTGTTGGTGCGCTTGACAAGGTCGATGTCGACGACATCGCCAACCTCGGAGAAGAGTTCCAGGATGTCGCTCTTCTCAACATCGTAGGGAAGACCGCCAACAAAGACTGAGCGACGGTCGGCGTCGTACTTGCGCAGGAACTCCTCGTCGGTGTCCGAGCGAGCCTTCCTCCTCGTGTCGTACACGTCGATGCGGTATTTGTCCTTGCCGCGGACAGCCTATGGAAAATTGTCAGTCACGCGCGGACGCGATCTAATGTGCCGGCGGATGGCGTTTGCTTACGTGGATTATGTCACGTTTGGGATCAAACGTGGCAAACTCGACGAGGATGGCCTTGGGGATTCCCAAAGCCTCTTGCTCTTCGGCGCCCAGCACCTCGCACTTGCTGAGCTCACCGTACTGCTCCAGCAGCGCTCTGGCCTCTGCAACAGTGATGTCCTCGCCCGGGCGTCGGTTGTAAATGACGAATGAGCCTGGACAATTGAAAGAGTACTTGTCAGCACATGCAATTGACGTCAAGGAATGAGCGACGACAGCGAGGCTACTTACGGTTGGCGCGAACTCTCTCAGTGCGGCAAGGGCGGCCGAGGATCATGGCACCACGTCCCTGCTGCAGGGCGTTGTTGGCGTCATCGTCACTCTGTTCACGGTTAGAAATGGGCTCGGGCTGCAGGAAGCGATTGCCGACAATGGGAACTTACGGTGTACTGGCAGAAGGCAAACGGCATGCGGTTGCCGTCGCGACGGATCTTCACGAAAACCGTGCCGTACCTGCTGAATTCCCGGGTAACGGCGGCCTCAATGGCGCGATCCTCTTTGTATTCGGGCAGGCTGTCAAGTTCAATTGTCAGACGAGGTTCTGGGCCAATGGGGCAAAGGGCATGCGACTTACTTCGCAACGAAGACACAAGCCGTGGCAGGGTAGATGCCTTGAACATCGACACCGCCGATCATACCAGAGCGTCCAGCCTTTGCAGTTGAGCCGGATGCACGATTGTCAGGACTTGCCACCATGACTGAGCCGGTGGTCACGGAACGCTTGATTCGACGCTCCGCAGCGTACTCAGCAGCGCTTTTGGCGAAGTAAGAGGGCTCCTCATCACCGCCTTTGCCGAGGTAAGAGGGCTCCTCATCAGCGTCTCTGCCGAGATAAGAGGGCTTGAAGCCGGTGGCATTGCCCGACAGATAGGAGTGCGAGGTCATGGCCGGGGCGGTTGCGGTGAGAGACTTCTGGGGAGAAGCGGTGAAGACGTCGCTGGGCTTCTTGCCGAGCTGGAAGGGGCGGCGTCTGCGACCAAACATTAGCACACGCCACTGAAAGTTGTGCTGTTGGAGACAAAAGAACTTACTTCTCATACTCTTCTTCCTCGTCATCGGCATCGTCACCATGGAGGGCTCCAGCGGAGGCAAAACCTAGGCGACCGAACTCCTGGGTGACTGATGAGAAACTACATCTGGTCAATTGACAGCTCGGTCAAGTCAAGCATTGACCGTCAGACGAGGATGACTTACTGGACGTGGGGAGGGGAATCAGCTGTGCTGACATTGGAGAGGCGGGCTCCAGCTGCGAGCAAGTCAGTGTCTCTCCTACCGGGCGGAACGAACAACAGATACTCGCGGATGAAGAGTGGATGAGGATGGAAAGATGCAGTGAAAGGTGATCAGTGTTGGATCGCGACTTTGAGCCTCCATACCACACACAGCTCCGATATCGCCAAGCGATTTCGGAATAGTCGCCAAATCACCAGATGAAAACTAAAGAAAAAAAAGAAAGAGCAACTCAATTCCAGCTACCCTCAAGGAGCAGCTGGCTGGAAAAATGAAAAAGATGATTCGGAGAAATCGAACAAGACAGCAGCTGACCTGAGGTCACACAAGAGAGCTGTCAAGCAAACGGGAGATCAACCAAGTCAAGAAATGAGAGGCCCAATGGAGTGAAAACATGGCCATGAGCAGACAACCGAGAGACCAGCCAACTCAGGAGAAACGAGAGGCCAGTGAAGTGAAAACATGACAGAAGCTGACAAGCACATTGTGTCACGGTTAACTTACCTGGCTCGGAACCGCCAGACGAGCCTGACTCGAGGCTCAGAGAGCGGACCCGACGGGGACCGCCCGACTTGTGGGCTCTGAGCATGGCCGACATTGTTGGATCGTGGGACCTGCTTGTCGGAGAGCCTGGTAACTGATGGATGGACGAGGCCTCTATAACGATGGCGGAATGAAGGTTGTTGGAAATGAGAGATGGATGGGTCTAATAAGCCTGTCGAAGGAAAAGTGAGCAATGAAATTCCCCTCCTCGCCTGAGATGGGAGAAATTCTGGAGTGGTCAAGTCGCGACGCGACCGGCGCGAGAAGAAAGGGAAATCCTTCGCGCTGGTTTTGGTCAATGGCCTCAACCGTGGCGATGGGGTGATGATGGTGGGAAGGATGGAGGGAGATGGAGGAGAGATGGTCTACGACGAGATTTTCAAGCACATGAAAATGAAGCCTTCCCTCGCCAACGAATTGGGAGGAGAGAGGCCTGGGCTTCGATCTCGCGGTGTTGGTTTTTGGTCAATTGACCTCAACCGTGACGATGAGTGTGATGATGGTTGGAAAGATGGGGAAACTGGGGAAGAAATGGACTACGACGCGATTTTCGAGCGGATGAGGGCTTCCCACGCCAACGAATTGGGAGGAGAAAGCCCTCGACTCGGATCTCGCGATGTTTTGTCAACCTACCTTTACGGCGGTGGTAAAATTATGGCGGTGGCCGGCGGGAAACGAGAGAGAGAGACGGAACAAAGAGAACGGGGACCGGACGACGAGAAGTCACGCGGTGGAAAAGAGCGTGTCTGGGGGAGAGGAGAGGAAGAGGAGGAGGGAGGGGGAGGAGGGGATTTATACCTCAGAGGAGGAGGGCAGGACCCGCTTGGGTGATTTTGCTGCGATTGCGGGTGCGAGGGGCGCCGAAAACAACACGGCCTTGCACCTTAGGCCGTCGACGACGACATCATCGGCTTCCTGCGAGGCACTTGCCGTCGACGGGAAGGTGCACCTTGCAGTCCCCTCCATGGTGATGGTGCACCTCGCAGTCCCACCCAGGGTGACGGTGCGAGCTCGAGCAAACCACCACAGAGACATAGAGAAGGGATGCGTGATGTTCAGGGGTCAAGGGGATGGCTTCTAGCCCTCGCATCTTAGGCCTTTGACCACGGAATCACCAGCTTCCCGCGAGGCACTCGCTGTCAACGAGAAGGTGCACCTCGGAGTCCCCTTCACGGTGACGGTGTGAGCATGAGCAAACCACCGCAGAGAGGTTACTCTGGATCACCGAGCAAGGAGGATACAGTATTGACATATACATGGGATTAGTACGATAGAGCACGAGCAACCGTCTATTCAGAACAGAGACTGAATTTGGGGAGCAAGTGAGCAAGTCTCCCTGCGGATCAGCTGTTAGCAAGCCTTCCAATTCTTCCTTTGGCTACCAACGGCTCCTTTGACCTGACTACAACGTAGATACAAGCACAGCCTTTAACTCATCCTTTCTCGCTCACTCGCTGAAAAGCAGGCTGTAGCGGTCGATCCGGCTCGGCCCAAACGATGGCGATGGCGTCGCCTGCTGCTGAATCACACGCCAGTTAGGTATGGGACGTCACCGGACGAGACAAGGAGAATAAGGTGTACAAGCATTATGATCCAGTTGACTCGCTGCCTGGAAATGCCCCCATATGGAATTCGAGTATGGTTCAAATTATGAGAATGCCATGGGAACTGGGCGACGAGAAGAAAGTCATCTTCGAAACTCAGTATCACGTCGTCACCAGGATTCATATGGTTCACCTGTGCGGCTCGAATCCTCCAGTGTAGTTCTTCACAATTGCCTTCACTGCTAGAACTTGGAAGAACCTGTCCTCAGGGGAATTGTTGCTAAGATGCGTGATGTCCACGGCCCCAATGTAATAACAAGGGGCTGGCTTCTGGCTCAGGGGTAACAATCAGGAGAACAAGATGGGCCGTGCACTCAACTTGCTGGCGCAAAAAGGTATCAATGCAGCTTTGATATTGTCGTTGTCTGCTGGGCGCGATTTTAGAGGCCCGTGAGCTCAGACGAAAATCTTTGGTGAATGACTCACGTCGTAGATCTGTTGCCAGGCCGTCCAAAATCCGCAGGTGCACGTCCTAAATTGGCAATTCCGTCGCAAATCGGCCCGGACACCGGGTGAGGTCAAATTTTTTCGGCGCCGGCTCCTGCTTTGATCGGCAAGTGGGGCCGAGAGCTTCGGCAGCGGAAAGGTGCACGGCCGGCGGCAAGCGCGGGCCGCCCCGCTTACCGGCTGCCGGCCGGTCCAGAAATAAACGCTGAAATGAGACGGAATGAGACACGCAGAAACGCCCAAAGACTGGAGGAGAGGCTGGACAGCACACATTGGCACTTGGAAAATGGCAGTCTGTCACTATGTAGCAGTATTTACGTAGGATGCGGGCAATGCGAGCTTTACAATGTCTACCTTATATTATCGTAGTACCAGTGAGCACGGCAGTTTTGTGGCGGGATGGTGATTTACGTCGGGGCAAGGCGGCGGCAAGCATTGACCGCTCGCCAGCTGGGCATGTTTCTCGTTCCAGATTTTTTTTTCGTGACATCGTCGGCTCCGTGGTAGCCCTTGATAAACGATAAACTTCAAAGCGTGTGCGGATCGCGAGTCTAAATGTGAAAAGGGCTCGGGTCGCAAAAGATGGGAACAGGCGTCGCCAGATTGTTAGGACTACTCATGGACAACCAGGCATTCACGTCACTCAGGGAGTCAGGAGTCAGTTAGGTAAGGTACCTAGTACCTACTAGTACTCTAGACAGACCATTGCTACCTGGATTTTTTTGTGGAATTTAGAAAACATGAGCTTCCAGGAAAGTTGCTATGCTTTGTTCTTGAAAAGCCCTCTCGCAAAATTTTGTTCTCCAAGTTATGCACATCATGATTAAAGACTCAAAGAGAGAAACGGCTGGGGCGAACATGTCGAGAGGGTCTTTGATCGCCCAATAACTAAAGAATAAAAGAATACGCTTTCACGGTCAGAGAAAACGTATCGTGATATTGAAGAGGTAATGCCAATCTGAGTACCCAACTTCCAAGTAATATGAAGTACATTATGATAAAGTGCCCACCTGTCACTGTACTCGAATGGCCGGGATAATCTGAAAAACCGAGTATCAAGCAAGTACTTGGCGACCAGCTAGCTGTGAAGTTACAAGGAGGACAGAGCGAAAGAGCGGACCTCAGGCTCTGACAAGCTGAGATGAGCAAGTAGTTTGATCTTCAAAGGGGGGGGGGCAACAATTGGGAAACGGGTGTGTTTGAGGACAGCGAACAGGACAGGCTTGGTTAATAAGCTGGCACCGTCTTTACTTGGTGACACTTCTCCAGGCAATTTCTTCAGCATTTATCAGATGCCGCAACTGACTCTTGTGCAGGATAGCAGGAAAAATTTAAAAAGGCCATTCCACTCATTGGAAGACAGCAGTAGCTTGAGACCTGGCGTAACTATGGAGTTGAAGAACACAACTTCATCAGGGAGAAGAAATCAAAGAATGCTAGCCTGCATGTGTGCTACTCTCCTATTCATATTCGTTGAATCTCCCAGTCGAATAAATACACTTGACAAAGTCAGCAACCCCTATACTGCCCTTCAGACGTTGGAGTCAGACAACGACAGACACAGTGAGAGAATGGCATTTCAAACAGAGAATGCCCGATGAGTGTATGACTGGGAATCCATGATACGGTTTGATCTAGAGCACGCTCATGGTTTGGGTAGCCTGATATACAGCGAGGGAAACAACACTGCAGAATAACAGAAGAAGATGAGAGTTGGTTTGATCAAGGTACTGAAGTATGCCTCACTAAGCATGACGGACCGATAGACCCAAAAGTGCTCAAAGTTGATGGCTTGATATACAGTTCAAAGTTCTATTGGACCATTCCCCCAAGCCTCGGAATCACCCTGCAAGCCTGTGGGGATCAATACGGAACTTAGCGAGCACTTGGATACAAAGAACATTAAGAAAAAGAGTGAATCACCCTCGAGATATCAGACACAGAAGGATTCTTATTTGAACTTGCAGGAACAGACATGACTAGGCATGACGCTGGGTACCCTATCTCGAGCCTATGTTGGCT